GTGGTTTGCTTGCAGACGTTTCATTACCTGACTAGGTAACATCTGATGTTGTTACCTAGTCGGGTAATAAAACGTCTGCCAGCAAACCACCAAACTCGGATTCTTCCCCCCCCCCCCGGTCCTTGAAAAAGTGTTTGTGCTTGAAACTGGTCCCTGGTACAAAAAAGGTTGGGGACCACTGATGTACAGCACTAAGTGAAATCCTCAACTTCTTCACTCCTGGGGAAACTAATTGCTTATCTTTGCATGAGATGGCAGGAAATATGCTATTTTGTGAATGAAGGGAAGCAGAAGGTTGAAATTTTTCTTAAGCTACTGAATTTAGCTTGGAATTTCCAGAAAGCCAAAAAGTAAGTCCAAGTAAAAGCTGAATTGAAAAGGAACTATGCAAGCTCAGCTGTTGTATATTTGATTCCTCTTGTGATCTCCGACCAGCAGTTCAACTTGTGATATATCACAAGATTATCTTCTCCTTCGAAGGTTTTTTTATAGCAGATTCCTTTAAGTACTATTTGTGGATTTAGCAGCACTATTTTTTTTTGTTTCTGAAACGTTGTACATATGACTACCTAAAATAATAAATTAAGTTAAATAAGTTAGGCCAGGGTATGTAAATTGAAAGGATTTATGGGAGACAAGATTTGAGACCTCCAACGTTTAGCTCTTTAGGCTCAGAGTAGTTTTCATCTTCAGATAAAACAGCTTTCATATGCACTTTTTATTTTTACAGATGGAATATCTATCTCAGAAAGTACAACACCTATCTGTTGCTGATACTGTTCATGAAATCTCTGTACCATTTACTCCTATAACTTGCTATGGAGAAAAAAATGCCTTATTCAGCAGATAATAACAATTCCATACAGTCTAGAAGTTGTTCGCTAAATTTTACAACTAATAGTAAGATGGGCTTTGACGAACCCAGCAAAACAGTAAATGGAAACAAGCATTCAACCATTTGGAAGCTCTCTGAAGTGACCTCTCTAAGAAATGAAGAAACAGCAAGAGCTACAGCTGGACTTTTAGAAAGAAAATGCTTAAGGAATAAATGTATTTCAAAATTAGATAATGAACTACATAGGGAACGTAGCATCCCCGAGATTCAAAAACTCAAAGATGTAAATTGGACAGAATTGTTTCTTGATCAGTCTTCCATTGGGGATAGTCATCAATCTGTCTTAGATCACTGCATATTTAAAAAGATGGTTCAAAATAACAGGGGCAAAGATAAAAAGCCTGACACTTTTGATCCAAAGCTATTACATGCAAATATTTTTAACAGTTCTGTAGCCTTTGTAAATAATTCAGAGAATTTTGAACAAGAAACTCCTGGGACATTGGTAAATAATAATACATCACGTCCTGCAAACATAATTTCAGATTCTATCCAGGCAGCCAAGTATAACAATGAAAACTATTTTTGGGCTCCACTCAGTGACAGTTCAGATGAAGAATGGACAAATAGGACAAAAAATAATTTAAAGTGGCCAACTATGGACAGCAAAAATTATAAAAACCTTGGTGATAGTGCTAACTTTGACAATCCAACCATTATGAAATATTTCAGTTCGCCAATGCTGGAAGAGGAATTTGTCTTCAAAATAATGCCTGGCAGTTGTGAAAAATGGAATCCAGGAATAGAAACCTTGCAAATTCAAGAATATAAATGCAAGAATTTTACACAGACCCCAAAATATGAAGATTTTAGTGGAACACAAAATTCCATAAAAAGCAACCATGAAGAGTCTAAAAATGGAAATATCAATTTTCTTTCTAAATTTACAGTACAAGAAGATATGTTGAGGGATCAGATGTCAGATATTCAACCACTAGAGAGAGCCTCAGACCAGAGAAATGAATCTAAATTACAGCAAATGCTGGAAATGGACAAGATTTTTAAAGGGAGGAAATATATCGGAGAACAGGATGTCAATTTTAAGAAAGCTACATATCAAAAAGATACAGAATTAACATCTCCGTTGGACTATCCATTGGAAATTAAGAGCAGTTCCGTGAGTTCATTACTGAAGCCTTCAGAAAATAATACTTACAAAGAGGGCTCGGACTCTTTGAATCCCAGTCCTAAAGGCACGAATAAGAGCAATGGTGACTGTGTTTTGCTAGTTGGGCCATCCCAGATCAGTGATGATCAGGTAATACATAAGCCTTGTATCATCTCCAAAAATGAGCAAGGTGCTATCAATGATAATATTTCTGCAACTGGTCTCAAACCAGCAGATGGTGCTAAAGAGTTCCCCACTGCAACTATTAAATGGGATGGTCATGAGAAATCATTTTGCAGCAAAGATTTCAGCCATAGTGATGGCGTTTTGGCTAAATATTATTTTTATTTGAACTATCTCAATGAGTCCAAAAGATTTCGGTGTGAAAATGCCCATCAGTTCTTTTTTTGTCAAGAACATGATTTTTTCAAAGAAGCCTATTATGATACTGGACCCTGCTACTGTAAGAATGGTAGCATGTATGAGGAGCAGACAGATGAAAATATGAACCATGATCTGGGAACTTCTGAAGGCAAGGAAAGGACTGAGATCATCAAACAGCAAAATCATTTCAAAGATCAGATGTTGAAGCCTCAGTTTGCAAATAGCACCCCCAAACAAATGGAGAGAACAGGCAGTTTTAAAGGTAAAATTGGATGGTTTTCTAGTTAGTGAGATGTGTAACTATTTTTAAATAGCATGCAGGAGTAGGAAATTTGATGTTTTAGATCAGGAGTGTCAAACTCAATTTCATTGAGGGCCGCATCAGGGTTGTGTTTTATCTCGGGTGGGGAGGGCATGGCCAGGTGTGGCCCGCTTGACGTCACTTGTGTTGGGGGTGCCTGTGGTGACCTTAGCGCCCTGCCAGAGAAAACAGGTTTCTGAGTTCCGTTTTCAGCTGCAACAGCCTCCTGCAACTCTCTACCAGCAAAAATGGAGTTTGGGAAGGCCACAAGAGACCCCCCCCCCCAGGGTCCGTTTTTGCTGCAGAGGCATCGCGGGCTGATCCTTTGCTGTTTCCAGGGTGGCCCTGCAGGCCAGATCTAAGCACGCAGGTCCGGCCCGCGTCCTTGAGTTTGACTGACACTTGTTTTAGACTATCAGAATGTCTTATATTAGCCATTCTGGTTGTGCTTGTTAGCAAGTGAAATCAAAAACTGTTTGGAGGACATCTAGTTGCTGTCCCATGTTACTTTGTCACAAACACAACATATAAGTGAAAGCTTCTATATTTAATAGAAAAGTTCTTTTATTCTTACCCTACTTTATTGATAATTTAAAATTATGACTCCATGGTATGGCAGTGGCTCAGGTTAAATGGCATAATCCAGGAAGGGTATCAGCCATAAACTCCTTTGAAAACAACAGGATTTATAGGATTTTATATTTAATACCTTAATTGTAGGGTTTATGTCAGTCACTCAGGGAGAATTTAAATTTATCTTCCATGTATTAAGGAGAGGGGAAAATAACTTGCAGGTTATACATATCTTTGGAGTGCTGTGTGATGCACTAATGATGCTGGGAACTTCTAGATTCCCTCATGTCCTATCCACCACCCTAATGAAAGAGAGCTAGCCATTACAAAGGTATAAGAGTTTTGAACTAATATGTGCTATGGTGAGAGAGTGATAAAAAATAAATCCTTTCTCCAGCAATCATTGTATGTGATAGCAGTGGCTCTTTCATATTGAAAATATGTAGTTCTGGAAGAGAAAGGAAGTGTTAAGGTGCTACTCAGTTTAAAAACTTGTCCATGCATTTGTTACTGCATCGTAACTTCCTTCTCCAAAGCCAGCTTAATTTTTATATTCATTTTCATTATTTACCAATAATTGTTGGTATTTTTCAGAATAGACGTAGAAACACATGAAATTATAAATAAACATACTTTCCATTTGAGACTTTTCATATATCCAAAGTATTTTCTGTGTTCTGATCTCACAATATGTTCAGTCCTTGGTAGAGCACTGATATATTTAAGGCTGGAAGAAGCTGGTATGTATGCTCTTGGTTTTATTGCTCCGAACAAATTAGATAAACCTCCAAAGTACATTTTACATAAATCATAAAGAGATTGCTCCCAAATAAGATAGGATTGTTTAGTTCTAGCAACAAGGATAATCCACTTGATAGTATTTTGGTAAATCAAAGGTGGGAGCTGGTCTTTGCACACTCGTGAAGTGACGTTATTGGCACTGACTATTGGCAGAGGTGGGATGCTACCGGTTTGGCCCAGTTCTATAGAACCAGTAGCTGCAAAGAGCAGCTGACACTGAACCAGTTCGGTGTTTGGCCCACCCGCCTGCCTGGACTCTAGGCTGTCCTTTATTCCCTGCTTTCCTCTCCTCAGCTGCTTTGCGCGGCACAGCTGAGGTTGAAAAAGCAGGAAACGAGGATTTTCATATGCTGTGTCCCCCCGTGAAGCACTTGTCAACTGTGGCACAGCTGATGATTTCTTGCAAACACTGCACACACGCATTTTATGATTGTCCGCAGTTCGGAGAACTGGCAAATCATTCCACTGGCTGGCCCCTCCCCTCCCCGCCCACTCACTCCTTACCTGGAATGTGAGCCATCCAACTTGCCTGGTTTGGTAAGTTGCTATTTTTCCTTTTTTCCCCCCCAACCATCAGCTGTTTTGCTCTGCCGGGAGATTTAGATTAGCTAGAAAGCAGGAAATCCTTGGATTTCTTGCTTTCTAGCTAATCTAAAAGCAGAGCTGAACCTTCCTTAGAACTGAAGCTTCTACTTTTCAGTGCAGACTCAGGTAGCTGATTGCAGATAGATAGATCTCTAAGTGAATCTGTGATTCTGTGAGCAACTCAATCTGCCTGCCTGCTTTGCCTGCTTTTGGGTAAAAGTTGCTCTTTTTTAAATAAAAAAAATCAATATTTACATACATGGTGTGTTGTGAGTTAATTTTGTGAGTTTGCTTGCAAGCAAATTTTATGTGACAGACCTAGGTAGTCGATTGCAGGTAAATAGATCTCTAAGTGAATCTGTAATTCTGTGAGCAACTCAATCTGTCTACCTGCTTTGCCTGCTTTTGGGTAAAAGTTGCTCTTTTTTAATAAAAAAATCAATATTTACATAAATATTTGTAATATTTACATACAAGCCATGCCCACCCAGTCACATGACCACCAAGCCATGCCAGGCAGCAAGCCACACCCATCCAGTCACATGACCACCAAGCCACACCCACAAATTAGGCCACACCCACAGAAGACATTTTAAGACATTTGGACCCCACCCCTGGACTGCTGTAATAGTGCAAGCACTACTGAGGCAGGGCAAACTCCTGGAGGTAGCTGTGTGTGATGTCAGATACATATAAGTTAAGGGCAATGTTTTCAGCACAATGATGCAACTTCACTACCATCATTTTAACAAAAACATTAGTTCCAGTGATTCCTCTGGGAATAGGCTTATTCTTCTCTTATACATATATTCTGTTAATTGCTGGCAACTTCCTTCCTCTTCAGCTGAAAGCAGGTGCAGAGAAGTTGTAATTAGGTCTAGCACCTCTGTGGCCACTGAAACCAACATCTCTACAGCTGATATTCAGAGTTCCCCTTTACATCCAAATGTAATTAAATTGGGAAATCCAATCAGATTCCATTTGTTGTTTCTGATTTTGGACTCATTATATTTTGAACGCATCATATGCCTTATGAATGCCAAGGATGTGTTTTAGATGTTTATGTCATTCCCTGGAGCTCCTTTAACTGCTTGTTGAAATTAACTATGCCTGCAACTAATATATTATGTGGATCATTTTTTATAGACCAGGAAGTTTTTGAAAGCAGGAAATCAAGCCCAAAACAGGCTAGTCCTAAGAAACATTGGGAAAGAGCCAACATTTCATGCTCATCTTACACACAGAGAGAACTGAAGCCAAGGTTTGCTTATTTAATATTTAATACATTGATGTGAACAAAGCAGTGCATTTACAAAAGGCATATCTCATCTGCTCTGGTTTTCCATTTTTTTAACCCAGAATTTATAATGGTTCCCTGCAGATTGCTTTATACTTTATAAATATCTCATGATATCAAGGCTGTTCTTTTACAATCATACCAGTATATACCAGTCCTACTATTTTAAAGCGAATATGGGCTTCCTCTGTTAATGTTTTTCCTGCACAACTATTTCCATTTAATTAAGAAATACTAATTTGAAATGGATTATATTGAGTCTAGTATAAGTAATATTCTACACCCATGTGTAAATTTCTCTAGTAATATCTTTAGTGTATTCATATATGAAAGCAATGACAGGATGCAGGAGTAGAAAGTACATAGAAGTATGGTAAATCTTATTAGTATAAAGTTGATTTAGTTAGATTATTTTTATCGTCTCTATTATTTTTATCGTTTCTCAGTGTTTTTTACGTTCTTCTGTGCTTTGCACAGTTTTGCTTACCATAAAGGGAATAACATTGAAACGCATGCTTGAGTATAATAACCTAAATAAAAACAATAGGTCTTGGCATAGGCTGCGTATCACCAAAATGCATGAATTTCATGAGAATGGTGAACTTTGCATTTTTTAAGGCTAAAATTAGCCTGTTTGGTGTAGTGGCTAAATGTTAGGCTAGAAACCCGGAGGCACCTGAGGCCCCAAACCAGCTGGGTCACCTAAGTCTGGTCACATTCTGCCCTAGGAAGAAGGACATGGCAAACCACTTGCAAAAACCTTGCCAAGAAAACTTCAGGAATTAGTCCAGGCAGTCAGCAGAAGTCAAAATTGACTCAAAGGCACAAAAGCAAAACAAAGTTAATTGCTTATTCTGATTTTTAAATTTCTTCATCTTTTGATTATTTGGGGAAAATTGTAATCTGTTTTATTTATGGGCAGGTTAGCCCTATGTTGGATTCTTCAGCAAATCTAACAATCTGTTTACTTATCACAACAGCTCAGATATGGAGGAGGATTAGCTCTGCTGGGTTATTCCCCTTCAAAATGGCAAAACAACACAAGCTAAAGTAAGCTATATAAACAGAAGAAATTTGAGTGCTGTAGTCCAGTACCACATTATTAGCCTGTGCTACCTGCATATTTTTCCTTGTTCAAATCATGAAGGGGGAATGGTTTCTAAATATTGGTCCACAGAACATCTTGTATATCTTGAACATCTTGTTTTTATTAATGTTGCACTATTTTTCTCTGCAGAAGATCACAATGTGTCCGAAGGCCTGCAACAGGCAAGAAGTTAATGAGGAAGAACAATTATAACTCTCAGAACCAAACGTCTTCAGGTTTGTAGAATTTGAGGTGACATCCTTGTTGTCAAAAACTCTGTTCACTTTTCCTTCTATTCCTTGATCCAGGATATTCTGTTCCCAACCCACTGAGAGTGGCAAGAACCCATTGACCCTAAAATTAAGTTTATGAGAAATAAAATATATGAAAATGTTGTTTTTCTAACAGATCTTGTTTTCAGTCGTCATTTTAGTAGTAAAATTTACCTAGTTGTATGGGGTGGAGCAGGGATTGTCCACTGGGTTTCATCAGTTTAGCATGTTTTCATAAGGAATGTTTCATGACAATACAGTTCTTTGCTCTGTTAATTTTTTGTGGGAGCTCTGCTATCAGTCATGGGGTGATCTGTGTTGAATAGATCAGTGCAGATTGTTTTAATTAAAACAAGAATCGACCTCTCTGGGAACCAGTTGAATAAAATGAGTCTCCATTTTGAAATGTGAGAGGTTTATATCATTCTTTTTGGAATCTTTTGAAAATCTCCAGTTCTTTTTGTATTTTATCCAATACCAGCCCAGAGACCAATGCATTCATGACTTTGATGATTCTTTATTTATTAATAAAAGTTTTATTTAAGTTTTCACAAAACATATAAATACAAATAAAATATCTTTTTTTGAGAATAGCGTGGCCCTGGGTTATCACTTCTCCATACAGACATAAACTCAATACATATTTATCTTATACATTCTAATCCATATCTTATAACTATTTTCGCAATTTTTTCAATAGCTTTTTCCTTTCTTTACTTCCTATAGCCTTATTTTAAATTATCTCATTCCTTTCTTAATTCAATTACATATCTTTTTCTAATTTTTAAAATCTTTCTAATCAATGTTTTTATACTTTAGTCTGTCCTGTTTACAATTTCATATTATCTTTTCTAATTTTCCCCTGTAATTACTAGACTGGAGTGTAACACCTTTGTATCTTTTTTCAAATCTTATTTAAAAATTTAAGTTACATCTTTACAGTTATAACATTCATTTTCTAACCTCTATTTTATAACACACATCTATTTTCAATCAAATTCTGCTTGGTACATTCCCTTAAAATACACACTAAATTCTTAAAAGAAAAAAGTATATATGTATATATATCTGTGTATATATGTATAATAATAGTAAATGGAATAATTATTCTATTCAAGTACAGCTCTGCCATTAATATTAATAATAATCTTTTACATTTCTATTTCTTTTAACAAACATTACCTAGTAATATCAGTTGTTTTTCACTTTAATCATCTATATTTCATATTTTACTTATTACTGTCTTTAAATAAAAAACCAAACAATAGTTATTAACAGTAGTCAATAAAGTTATTATTCTTATTCAAGTTCATCTTGTCAACTGATAAAAATTTTCCATGTTTCTTTTCAGTTTTTTTTAAATGTTCTTTTTAAATCATTGAGAGCCTTATTCTCTTTACAAACAAATATTCCACTACACATCAATAGAAAATTTCTCTATCACTTTAATTACCTAACATATTTTCTAACCCTTTTCTGTTTCTAATATAACAATGCTATCCCATGTACTCTTGCAGAATCCTCTCATTAAGTTAAATTTTAACCATTGTCTCTGTGTCTTTTAAATAGGCTTATACCTTTAATTCTTGTATGTTTTTCCTGTACCTCTATATCTTGTTTCTGTCTTTTGTAGCTTCTTTTTCTTTCCCTCTTCCCTCTCTTCTTCTCCCTCCCCATTGGGTCAAGTCCACCATAGTTTTAAGCAAATCCTCTGGTTATAGTTCCAATTTCAGAAACCAATTTTGTTATGAAAGTTTTCTGAGAAATTTTCATATACCTTCACTGAAACAGAAAACTTTGTATTACACCTTCAGTGACCCCTAGGAAATTTCTAAAGTTCATTCCGATGCTTGAATTAAATATTGCTATGACAGATAGCACATCATTGCTTCTTCATGATTCAAATTAGATTTTTCTGTGGATGCTTAGGTCAGGACGATCAAAATTCCTATTTGATGGGATACAACAAATGTTAGTTTCTGCCATTTAAGTGCTTTGTTTTGTTTTAGTACCACTTAGTGGCTGTTCTCCTTTTGTATTTTGTATAGTGATTTTGTATGCTGTCATGTTACTGGAGTAGGATGGCCATATAAGTATTCTAAAAAACAAAGAAGCAAACAAATTATTTATCCATCCATCTATCCTAGTAATCAGAGACTGGTTCTTGATTTATTCATAACAAAATTGGTTTCTGAAATTGGAACTATAACCAGAGGATCTGCTTAAAACTATGGTGGACTTGACCCAATGGCTCATCAACATTTTAATTAACATCATTTACTAAAAGAGTGAGGAAATCAACTATTTGTTTTAGAGAAAAATAAAGCACAGTTTGAAACCATCATTTGCTGCTAGCTTTTCTGTTTGACAATGTTTTATTCTTGCAAAGTGTTGGCAGTCAACCAGGTGTTCACACTTGCTTCTGTTGACCTGTGGCAGAGTATCCCAGTATAACCAGTCAGTGCTTCTTTTCATTAACCAACAGCATGCAGAATTTAACATTTAGTTGGTGCCCTGGCTTCTGAATTACAGCATTTTCTCACAGTAATTAAATTCTGCTTGCCACCCCTCTACATAGAAATGGAAGAATAATTTGCTACTGTCACCATCTTTTAGAATAAGCCATGTGACTTTGGTTGTGATTTTCTAAAAAATGTGATTTTTCTAAAATTGTTTATTCTGGAGAAAATTTTCTGGGCAACAAAATATTCTTTCTGTATATAAATTCCCACAGAAATCTGTAAAAATGCATGATGTCATAGGTTTGTAGCCAGGGACTTCTTCCAGCAGCTGGAATCACATAGTAGTGTAGAGCATTTTGCACATGTGGATGTGTAGGAAAGCTTCCTTGATCCCAAAGTGTGAAAGGTAAAATGAGGCAAATACTGCATATTTGGGAAACTCAAAGTTCATATTTCTTTTCTAGGGACACAATGTAGGCTGCAGTATGAAAACGCTTCTCAGGATTATAACAAATTAAACATGGTAAGCATATGTTGTCTTCTAAGTTATATATTGCAACAGTAGCACCAGAAGCATTTGTAGAATGTATGTGTACCATTATGTAGTTAAGGTTTAGAAGTAGAACTTTGATAAGGTTATAAATCAAATCTTTTCCAAGATTGTGGTTTGTTTCATAAGGACACTGGTGTTTTCCCTTCACCAGAGGGACTTTTGAAATTGGCTGATTTTAAAATAGTTTTCTGGGTGTATGGGATACAGTCGATGATGGTTATGAGAATTGATGTTTGCAGATTGGCTGGCTTTTTCGTAAGAACATGTGTGGCTGAGGTATTGGCTGTGTGTCTATCAGCCTCCTGTGTTGTAACAACCTGGGTAATGGGCTGTGTGATGACCTTCTGAGTTCTATTACCCAGGTCGTTACAACACAGGAGGCTGATAGTCACACTGCCAATACCTCAGCCACACATGTTCTTATGAAAAAGCCAGCTAATCTACAAACATCAACTCCATCAACCAATCAAGAAATGACAACACAGCCAACCTCCCCACCAGTATATATAGGGAGACAACAGCTCCAGTCACGCTTTGCTCATACAAGCACAAAGCCGAAAGCACCAGCCTGAAGATGGCAAGTGGGACCTCGTCGAAACGTTGCCAAGATGCTCTCAATCTTACACGGGAAAAGACCCGAACACGCCAAGACCTACATACCTGTACCTGTGAAAATCTACAAAAACAAATATATTAAGAAAACAAACAAATATATATATATACATATACACAAACACACATGACACATTTTTAAAAATACAAATAAAAAATTCCATATCTGTCTGAACAGCATGTTGTCTGGACACAGTCAGTTTTAAGTAGAGATACATTAATCATAATAGTAATCATAACAGACATATCAGTATTAATCGCAAAATAGTAATACAATTAGTTTGTCCATCTTATAAAATTTTCAAAACAATTTTTTTTCTTATGTTTTTGGTCTTTTTAGGTTCTAACCTCTGTTCCATTAGTAAAATAAGTCCCATGTAAAAAAGCATTCTGTTTCTTCTTTTTCTTTTAAGTGTTAATCTATCCATCTCAGCATGTTCTAGTATTTTTTTTATAGTACTTTCATCTGTAGGAATCTCTTTTTTCCATTGTTGTGCAAACAATGGTTTTGAAGTTCTGACGGTTCTGCCCCCACGATTATATGATGGCATGTTGGACACTAAGCAGCTGACCTGTATTTATGGCTGTTTGCAGCGTCCCATCAAATGTGTTTTATAACATTTTTTACTGAAAATCAGCATTTACTTCTGGTTTTCAGAAAAACATCCCATTAAAAAAAACATTCACTTTATGACTGGCATGTGTTTAATGCCCCCCCACAAAAAAGGTAGCAAAAACATGTCTGGTTACATGAGGATCTCCTTTATGACTGTCATGACTTGCCATCATCATAGGCAGGCTTCATTATAGTTGTAGATCAAGGACTTTCTATATACATTCACTTCCTAATAGCCATGGGTTGCAGCCACAAGTTCATTTTCTAAGAATGCCAGTGTGGCATGGTTGGAAATACAGTGCATCTTGAGGCTGGACCTCTTCTCTTCAAATCTTTTAATTAAAATAATATTTTAAAAGTAGCCATTCTCATGATGATTGCTCTATATTGTATGGTTTTGTGTTCTATAACTATTTTATGAAAATACAGTATAGAAAAAAATGGAGGTCATGACTATGACTCTTTCTACGATATGCTAATCTATGTTTAACCAAATCTTAGTTTACTAAATTAACTTGATTATTGGCAGTTGTACAACACAATCAATCATGGACTACTCAGTCACAATTTGGTCTGGTACTTACAAGCAATGGTTATATTGCCTTTGATTATACACATTTTTCTAACTTCTGATAGCGTGCTTGATTTTACCAATTAAAATTGCAAACAAAATTAACTTTTTGTGTTAAATGAATCGTGTAGTGGTTGTCTATCAGTGTCATGAACATGCACAGAACCTTACATGTGTGTATATGGGAATTATGTTCCACATTCTTCCAATTCTTTGTTTGAAATTGTTTTATTAAAAATACAGTGATAATTTAGTTTAAGCATTCAACATTTTTAAAGCATCCAGACTGTTAAAAAGAAAAAAAAAGTTACAGGTATCTTTCAGATGAGAACAAAATACAAAAATAACATTTTTAAATTAAATCATAAACTTGATCTGCTACTACCTTGCTCACATGTGTCTCATTTATTTCAGTATTGGGCTGACTTGCATGCTTGTTACTGTTGTTGTTTTGGGATTCAATTGCTTTCTTGTTTTGTTTTGTTTTAGAAAAGTGACTGCAGTCTCACACCGTGGCTGCTGCTTCCTGATGAATTGTGGCTTTGTATCTTTTCCCTGCTGACTCATAAAGATATTTCTCGGATTTCCCAGGTGTGTCGTCACTTTTATCAACTAGCTGGAGATAAATTCCTTTGTAAGTACATTAAAATGAATAAACATTAAGAGGTTGGAGTAATATAAAAGTCCTGTATCGTTATTTTAAAATCTCATAAGTTTAAACACATACAGGTATGCACATTTATATCTAGCTGAGACAACTGGAGCCAAGTTTTCATGCCCTGATATTAAATTAAAATAACTTACATATATGTTTGTTTGCACATTTTTTCAGTCATTGGAAATCTTTTGTATTTTAGTTCTGTTTTTGTATTTCTTGTTTACAGTATTTGTGTATGCTGTAAACATTTTTTGCTGCACTTTTGTCAGGTTATTATCTAGTAGAAACATGTTTGTAATTTTTAAAGAATGCAGTACTGAATTACACCAAAAGGTTTTTGTATATTTTTAATGGCAGAATGTTCTTCCTAAGTGCAAAATAGTGAATTTCAAGGTAGTGCTCACTTAGGATTAATCCTGAGCTGCGTATAAAGTTGTGTGGTTCACACCTCTGGGCCATGTACAGATGTGTAACTGGGATGAGTCATGGATATTTAATATCACAAATGTAATCATCAGAGTTTGAACTTGACTTGAATGTTATCTTCAGAATGCACCAACAGAACATAATTTTACTTTTCCTGTGTTGCACATCTATGTTGCTAAAAAAAATCCTTTTTAAACATTATGAGACTGATAGTAGCTGGAAGGTTCATAGTAAGTTGTACATTATTCCTCTATGCCATGGTAAACACACTTTAAGTATTAATTCTAATGGCAGAACTGCATGCATATGGAAACATACTCAGGAAACATTTGATGAAAGTTACTGCAGGAGCAAGGACTTAACTTCTTTTGTGCTGTCTTATGACATTTTGCTGCCTAAGGTAAAGAATGAAATGCCTGTCACGACTCCAATAAAGAATGGACTGGAGCCGAGACAGCCAGGATGTGATACGACCATAGTCTTTTACTTGCCTTGTGTTACCACATGGACATTATGATGAATATTCTTCAAATAACTGACATCGGCTTCCTGACAAGGAGTGGTGCAATAATAATGATTCATGGCTGGATGTCAAAGGGGTGCTGTTGTAATAACGATAGGAGAGAAATAGGGGTACATGGACTCATCGAGCAGGGGAAAGGTGCAGTTACCATGTTTCTTTAATTTAAGGATGCCGGATGTTAGGCAGCAAAGGTGGCTGGAAGGTGGTTATAGTAATTATGTTGTTATCCAAAGTATAACATGTATAAATACAGCTCTGGGTTGCAAGGAAACCCAGAGCTGACTTTAAACATAATTTGATTGCTGTTACCTGTTGTTGTGGTGTGGGAGACGAATAAAAAACTTCACTGAAGCTACACGAGTAAGTTGATATCTTATTGTTCACCCTCTCAACCTTGGACGAACAGCTGACAATGCCTTCTTTCTTTTTCCTAAATGTTTGGCAGATGAATCTTATACAGATAGACATACTGATACATTACTCACAGGTAACCATAGAAGAGATTTCTGATTACCAATATTTATGTTAGCAGCATTTATGTGAGAAGCAATGTGATAGCAATAGTGACAGTAAGTATCTTCATGACTACAAAATTAGGCCTGCATTTCAGATAACCAATTGGTGGTAGCAAGCAGTATAGATTTCTGTACCTTTTTGCTGCTATTTAGTGGGTATCTGAATTTTGCAATCTAGATACTGTATGGCAGCTTTAATCATATCAATATCTGCCAAGCCTGGAATGAGCTGGCTTCTGTCAATCTATTTGTTAAAGTAGGACGTTGTCAATAGACTTACTTGCTCGTGATATGATTCACAGATAGTTATATAATACAGCCAACCCAACCCTGTAAAAAGTAAACAGGGCTGATTCAGAGCATGGCTATGGCAGAGAGAGGGAGAGAGAGGGAGGGAGGGAGGGAGGGAGGGAGATAACATAGTAAAAGAAAGCCTGAGGTGGCCTTTTTTAATTTACATCCAATTAAAAAAAAATGGTTAGGAATGTACTAGAGTACCTGACAAACTAGGTTTCCCCCCCACTTTCATTATGTTATAAATTTTAGTACGTTGTGTTGATACTGATGTTTATATAGTACATAGACAATTATCATTTTATTATGTAAACAGCTTAGAGTATAGAAAAGAGAAAGAAAAAAATTCCATCAATCTAAATTACAGTTTATTTAATAGCAATATTGCATGCATAAAATTATTTAGCTTTTTCATCCAAAATTGAGCATAAGATTGAAAAACAACATTATAAATCATATAAAAATAATTGTTATATATTAAGATTTCAATCTTAATTTTACTTATAAAAGTCTTCCTTGTTGCTTAGGTGGTGCATGTGTAATACCTACTAATAAAAGGAAAAGATAAAGCAAATTTAATGATAATTAATAACTAAACAAAAGGAACATAATAAAAATAATTGCTGGAGTCCTTCATTTATAGAGAGTTCCCAACAGCTGCAGTGGCGCAGTGGTTAGGCTACTTTTGCTGACTGCCAGCTGCCTGCAATTTGGTAGGTGTGCAACACAAGATTTGGTGCTGCTGATAAACTTCTAAGAAATGGAAAATGCTTTGTATAATTGCTATAAAAGAAAACAAATTGAAGGTTATTTGCTCTATGTCAGTAGCTCTAGGCTTGTGTTAGTTCCCACAGTGAATTCCAAAGCAAACACTTAGCACCTTGAGTAAAGAAAGGCAGCCAATTAGATGCAGCTAAGACCTGTCTTTCAATAATACATAAATATTGCATAAGGTGTGTATATATTTTAGGCTTGCTTTTGTTAAGATGCATGATCTTTGCATCATTACACCCCCACCCCCCCCAAAAAAAAATCTCTCAAAAAAGTGGCTGAAATACTTCGCTAAAAGACAAGGAGAAATACACTTTATCAAACGTTTCAGTATAAGTTGTACACGTGGAGTCAAGGATGTAAGAAGTCTACTAATTAAACAAATCTGAATAAGTTTGGTTTACTGCATCTTTGCTGACATCCCACTGATTTTGTTAGTATTTAAATTCCATTTAGAATTTAGAATAGAATAGAATAACAGAATTGGAAAGGACCTTGGAGATCTTCTAGTCCAACCCTCTGCTTAGGCAAGAAACCCTATACCCGTGGTGGCGAACCTATGGCATGCATGCCACAGGTGGCCAGCTCTTGCGGATAAAATAAAGTTAAGCTCTAAACATATTACATTCAAGAGGAATCCATTTAGATGATGCTGTGTATTAGTTCTCATTGACTAATGACTATGGGATGCTATGACCACACAGAATTTTCTTAACAATGGCAACTGGGACTGCTGCAACTGTCATCCAAAGTCAGCATGGTCATGAAACAGTGTGCTTTACCACCACATTGGAGTTGTTGGTCCCATTACCATTGTTCAGTGAGGATTACCTATACTTCTGTTGCAAATAAAGTGTGGTAAGCTGGCCTGGATGCATTGTGGATGCCTTTCCTGGGTTGGGCTCAAGAGCAAAGTTCAAGGCATCTGTTGGGACTTCTGAAAATCAAATATATGAAATGAACTTCTTATTCTTTTTTCTATGTCAAACTGGGACAGTTGCACCTTCCCAGGTCATGGCAAACAGCCACAGAGCTGCACAATTTGGGGGCTCCTTGATGTTGCTCAAGGCAGGGGTGCAGGGCAGCCCAAAAGGCAGAACCTGGGGGGAGACAGAATTGGAGACAGTCCTTTACCTTACTGATGCTCGGAGCTGGAAGAGACCAATACCAGAATGTCCCAAAGATGCTTTTTCAAGAGGCAACTGAATTATCTGAATACCAGAATGGTTTGGTTTGGGTCCTTGGCTAACAACTGGTCACCTTCGCTTAAAGACAGCAATGGAGATCACCAAGATTGCGGTCACTAAGCAATGTGATCACGTGGAATCTCACTTTACAACCTCATTGTTTAGCAACAGAAATTTTAGTTCAATTGGGGTTTTAAGTCGAAGACTATCTGTACTGGATCTTCCTGGAAAGCATTGCAAGACTACTTCCTATCTGTGTTGAACCTTGTTTGAATAACAAGGCCCTTGTGAGGGTTATGGTTTTTCTCAAATTGTGGTCATTGCTGTGACCTACAGTTTGTTTCTTATCCTTGCCTTTTAGCTTTTAACTTCTAATTCTGATTTGTTCTTCAGCCTTTTATACTGCTTGTCCTAGACTCCCTGGATTATTATCTCACTTTAGATAACTGCCAATTTATAAATAGCAACTGCTGGCAAATTACACATACTTTGAGTTTTCAATTTGGTCAAATGCCACTTTCATTACTCTGGTCTATATTTCAAGATTACTATGATAGTTTAATAGTTCTATGTGGTGAATATTATATCATTTATTATATAGCTATAGTGCTTCATATGGTATTTTTAGAGTGGAATAAACTTCATTAATTTTGCTAGAGTTTGCACCTGTGTAAACAATGCATGAGATAGAACTATAAATTTGTGAGGCATGGAAAATATAAGGCTGGATCTGAAGAATCATTAATGGAAGAAATCGGTCACCTCTGTTTTTCAAACACTTTTAAGAATCAGTGCACCTTTGTTCTCAAACAGTTGTTATTGCCTCTGGAAGAAATTACATACGATTTTAAGAAAAACAGTTATTTCCCCTTTTCTTCATTACTCTATAAAAAAGAGTTTAATTGAATTAGGAGATGAACTTTTCAATTCTAGTTCATACCATTTAATTTGCTTGCTTTGATATCATCTAGTGTTTATTTGGTACATAAAGTTTGTGATCCAAAGAGCTACTTTAGAGGAGGCTACGAGGTTATTCTGCCTCAGTCATTGGAATTTTTAGTATTTATTCAGTAAATGAATAATTATCATTAGACACTGCCTCAGCAGATGACATTATGTAACTTGCCATTAGCACACCCAAGATGGATTTGCTTTCTCTAGGTGGCTGTACACTTGTCAGAATAATATAATAACAAGCCCTAGCTTGCATGAAAAATTTGATTACAATTACACTGGCAATACCCTAGGTCAGGGGTCTCCAACCTTGGCAACTTTAAGACTTGTGGACTTCACCTCCCATAATTCCTGGGAGGTGAAGTCCACAAGTCACAAGTTGCCAAGGTTGGAGACCCCTGCCCTAGGTCATCCAATTAACACTGCAGCTTTCTTTCTTGGTATCCTGAGTCTTCTTCCATGCTATTGATACATCAGATATAGTGGTTGGAATTTAAAATGGGGCTTGAGAAAATCTAATTTCAAATCTTTACTTGTTCAGATGCAGTGAATGATGTGGTGAGTAGTTGCCACAATCCATCTCCAAAGAAAAGAAAATCACACATTTTTTCCTAAACTTTCTTGGGGAATATTAATAAATGGACATAAACTGTTTCAACCTTTCTCCTCAAGACTTTAGGGCATTGCATGCCAAAACAACTAAACACAAAGATAGTTTCTTCCACTCAGCTAAATACCTAACTCCTACAGCACTGTCTTCTGCCCAAAGATATTTACCCATGTAGTAGGCTGTGCTACTATTATCCTTGTCATCTTGTCATCCCTCTCATCTTTCTCACAACTCATCTTTCCTATTACCTTCTCCTATTGATATATTATGATTTATCAATGGTTGTTGTACCTTATGATTTATGATTGTATCTTATGATTTATGGCTTATCACTTTGTTGTTTGTATGAACACTGAGAGCTTATGCACTGTATCATTCTAAAAGAAATATTATAAAAAGTCTTTAGTTAATGAATAAACATCTACCTGCACCAATAAACTAGGTTATTTTTCTCCAGGGAAGAAGATTCAGCTTAAAGATTGCCACTGCTTGAACAATGACTGGTTGATTAGTTTAGGAAAACACCACCCTGAGTGTTTCACTCTTGATCATTGCCATGATAAAGATCACAGAATTTCTGAGGTTGGACTAAAACAATTCTTCCAATACTGTGAAGGATATCTCAAGGTAATGTCCACTTTAAATATAAAGCTTGGTTTTGGTTTTGTAATTATAGCAAGTTGGGAAATATTTATTATTTTTCATTATAATTTATGTAGATTTTAAAATATACTATTATATGTGAACATGGTACAATACAGAGGTCGTAATCAGCAGGTTCTGACCAGATCTGGAGAACCGGTAGTGGAAATTTTGATTGTTTGGAGAACCAGCAAATGCTACCTCTGACTGGCCCCGCCCCCATCTATTCTCTGCTTCCTGAGTGATTGGCTGATTGGCTGGGTCTTCTTTTGTTGCCCTGTACAAGAGAACAGAGCTGGAAAGCAGGTTAGTGGGGTGGGGAGGAAATAGAGATTTTACAGTATCCTTCCCCTACCATGCCCACCAAGCCATGCCCACAGAACCGGGAGTAACAAATTTTAAATCCCACCACTGGTACAATATAAGGGAAATAACAAAGTTTCTACACACACTACTGGATCTTGATGCTCACAGTGGGCCATATTCTTTCTAGTTTAATACAATATCAATAATATTGATTTCACAAAATTAAAAAAAATATTCTATTGAAAACCAAGCTCTACTCACTTCAGTATGGTTTCCGTATTTACATTAATTCTGATTTTCAATGAAACATGAATAAGAGTAGATTGGATATTTTTACCCAATTGGTTTCTCATAGGAACTCTTCCATCCTAGAGCTGGGGATGAGATCTTATTTAATTCTCAAAGAGGTACTACAGGGTACCTAAAGTAAAAAAAAATTAAAGCTCCAAGGACTGTAAGGAAGAATGAAAAGTCCTGTAATATGCACAAAAGTTCACTTATACATGTTAGATTTGACCGAAATATAAAGCTGTCCACACCAGATTCTTCTGTATAGCCTTGAATACATCTTCTGTGCTGCAACCTTGTGAATGGTCCTGATTCTTTGCTCCTGATATTAATCTGGTCAACTAAAATTCCACTCTAAATTGATGCCAGATAAGGATCAATGGAATTCAATAGGGATTGGACTTATAGTACTTGTGGGAATGCAGTGACTCTAAGCAGATGGTGTGCTTAACTCTGCCCCAGCTCTGTCTGCTCTTCTACAAGTTCCTTGGAATTATTATTCTCAGAGGTTTAAAATACTCAAGCAAAAAGCAAAAACTCTACTTTTTACAAATTTTCATGCACATACACTACCCATAGGAGATATGAAATTTATCCCAGTGCATTGAATAACCTGATAAATTACTAGCATTGTACAATGTAAATATTTTTTGTACAATATACAGTATAATTATCAATAAGACATAATATCCATCTGCAATAATAACAGCTGGCATTCAGTCCGCTTGTTGTTATACTGAGCATGTCTTCCCTTTGCTTAATAAGGCAAACAAGTGGTTCCAAAATCAAATTAAAAAACAAAAGGGCATCTATGACATGTTCATAAGACATCTTGATGGATAAAAAGGTAATTCTACTTGTAGTAACGCTTCCATATTAAAGGCCATTTCACAATAAGACCAGAATGGCTGATTTCAACTTTTCTGACTGTATATTCTTAACAATAATGAGTAATCTAATTGCAAAAATTGTAATTCAGGATGTTATGATAACAAACTAGCTGTCTGCTATATAAGCAATATAATTTTAGAATGTAGTATTAGAAATGAGAGCTAAATGTTGACCTAATTTTCTGTTGAGGTCATCCCAAGAGGTCAGATATATGGAGTAAGGCAGTATTTGTTCTTTCTCCATTATTTTCTCATGCAAAAAGAGTAAATTAATTTAACTATCTACAGGTATGCCCTTATTTTATCTTCATGCTGAAAGTATGTTGGTCAGTATGTTGTTCTTCTAACAGGCCCCACTGCCTGATCCAGAACTGGAAAGATCTAGCAGGTAGTAGTACCTATCCAAAAATAAAGGGTTTTTTTGAGATTGGAAAATGAAATCCAATCAATCCAAGATGTCAAGCTAGAAGCCCCAAGATTTCAACTCAAATTAATTAACCCTGTTTCTATTTCAAGAAATGTTTTCTTACATGAGTCATTTGTCATTGCCCATCTAGTATCGATATCCCAGTCAGATTTATTAATGTTCAGATGGCATTTTAAGATGAGAAAAGTCCAGGGGAGGCTATTTTCTTATTAAAAGATTGTAACAGACAGTACATTTTTCAAACTACAAAATTGAAGGTTAGAAATTAATAACATTATAAATAGAATTAATACAAATTAAAAAGAAAAGTGATATTTGATTTATTGTTAATTTTCTGCAAGTCAGTGTCTTCCTGATTCATTCCAAAATTATATATCGTTACTGCTACTGAGATCAAGAGGGGGCTTTTGTTTATCCCTGCAGTAGAAATATTCTGAGAAATGATGATGGAAGCTGACAGAAAAACTGGAGAAAACAAAAACATATTAAAAACTGCAGATACAGTATCTCCCACCCTTTTTTTCCCTTTCTTTTGTCTGTCATAAACTATGTAAGGTTGAATAGTTGCTGTGAGGACAGAACATAAAGTCAAAGCAATAGTAATGAAATCTGCATAATATTTATGAATTTTCAATTCTTTGATTTGATCGTTACAAACATTTTTGTCTAGCATTTAATTTGAAAGGAAGCTTATTGTAATAAATTTTATTTTCTTTTAATCATCCTGTTGTAAACATAAACAATAGGATTGGGTGGGTGTTTTAGATTCAAGGGATGATTTAGAGAATACACAGGTTTGCATGGAGCATCTTTCAGCAACTTCTTAAACCAAACACATTTTTCTCAGGATCACATTGCAGTTGTAAGATTCCAGGAAAAGAAGCAGCTGCTTTAAGGAATTGCTGACAGCTTGCAACTTCCAAGCCCCCTTTTTGCTTTACAACTGAAGTGTGGCACTGCCCTAAAATAAACAATAAACAATTCTGATTGATGTATAAGGTATGCTAACAAAAGTAATTGTTTCAGTCAATTCATTGCAATTTCCTTTTTTCCCCGTTTTGTACTTAGGAACTGAGTATAAAAAACTGCAGTGGTTCTGGATATAAGGGGGACAGAATTCTCCTTCATGCAAGCACCTTTTGCTATAATTTGGCGGTTGTAGATATAAGTTGGACAGGAACTACTGATTTTGGACTCGATGCTCTAGTCAAAGGTTCTAGAAGGTATCTAAAAAAATCCTGAAAACACCTTTGCCACCAAATACTTTTACCACCATTTTGTACAATCAGTTGCAAATGCGCAAGGCCAATTAGATTAATTATATCTAAGATTACATAGGAGTTTCTTGCAGTTCGGAATGCCCTGCCCTGCTTTTTATCAGAATACTTCTGTTTCACTCCTCACATTGTTCTGTTCTGTCCATAAGACATTAGTAATTTATGGCAATTTATTGTTAATTTCTATTTTCCTCTGTTTTTCTCTTCCCCGCTAGTATTTCTATTAATTAGGGTGTTTTCCCTGATGATTCCATTCACTCATGCCATGATCACCTCATGGCTTGACTACTGCAACACTCTCTGTGTTAGGTCTTCCCTTGAAGACACCAGGAAGCTTAAAGTGGTCTAGAATGCAACAGAGCAGATTGCATCTCTGCTCTGTGAGCTGTACAAGCCAGTTTGTTTCCAGGTGCTGGTTATTACCTATAAAAGTTGACATGACATAGGGTTTGGTTACTTGAGGGGCCACCTGTCTTCCACATTATCTGCCTGACCAATTCAATGTGGCAGGATTGGCACACTCCAGGGTCCTTCAGTTAAACCATACCATGCACTGGAACCAGAGGTGGTATTCAGCAGGTTCTGACCAGTTCTGGAGAACCGGTAGCGGAAATTTTGAGTAGTTCAGAGAACCAGCAAATACCTCCTCTGACTGTCCCCTCCCCCATCTATTCTCTGCCTCCCGAGTCCCAGCTGATCGGCTGGATTTTCTTTGGTTGCCCTGCACAGGAGAATGGAGCTGGAAAGCCGGTTAGTAGGTTGGGGAGGGAATGGGATTTTGCAGTAACCTTTCCCCAGGAATGGGGAGGGAATGGAGATATTACAGTATCCTTCCTCTGCCACACCCACAGAAATGGTAGTAAATTTTTTTGAATCTGACCACTGATTGGAACCCTGTAAATGTGGTTTCTCAGTGCCTGCTGTTTAGATTGAGGTCACTCCCAAGTTCTGGACAGCCCCACTTAGCTGGTGTTTGGAAGGGCCTTAAAAACCTGGCTCTGCCCAGTTCTTTTGTAAAGATGAGTGAAGTCCTCTTTGGCAATTTATTTATTCTTGTTCCTGTCGAGGCCATCTTTACTCTTTAACTTGGTCTGCCATTTTAAAATTGTTTTTAACGTATTTATTTGTAACCATGAATACAATAAATAAACAACAATAAAAATATCTGCTGGTGCAAGCTTCCTTTCCCCCCCTTCAATATCCATTGTTGGACATTTCTATATTGGCATTCATCATCTAAAATCATCTAAAATCAGGAAAGTTATGATTTAAATTGGAAGATGTTTAATCTGTACTGTTAATAGGTTTGGCGTAAATTACAAGCATCCATATTGGTTTTCCTAAATGTAGATAATCCAGTAAAAGATAATAGCTTATTTTTCATTAAAACACAATATCAAATAATGAAATTTAAGATATGCTACTTTTAATATCTACTTCAGAGGAAGCTTATTGATTAAAGTGGGGCTGACTTTTAACTAGATATATCTGCTTGGTTAACAATATTTTATTACATGAAAAATTCAAGTAATTGCTACTTTTCCTTTAGTTTACAGAGTTTTTCTGCTAATGGATGCCAGATAACCAATGAATCAGTAATGGCCTTGATTGGAAAGCATGGAAAAAGGTAAGGTATATGCCAATGAAAATTGTAAATCAAAATACAGTACATGGTGGTTGTATCATCATAGCTTTAATTTAGAAGGTTATACAAGACATTTCCTAATTTCTAAAAAATTGGACTTTCTTTTTTGCTGCCAAAACCACGATAACTATACAAATAACCTTTTCTAATGTATGGCCGTCAACTATGCTTGGCAATTGTACTGTAGGACAAAAGTCAAATCCATGAATTCAAACCCAGAACACAGAGACCTTTCTAATTGAGTTCAGACCTTTGCATGATGCTAAAAGAAACCATCCTTGACTAATGACTGGTTAGTTTTCAATTGAATACATCCAAGCAAAGAACAGCCCACTACCTCACTGGGTAATTAGTTCACTTAACAAACTTTTCTGATCATTCGGAAGGGATCTCCATCTCAATTCAGTGGAATTTACCATCCTTTAACTTAAATCCTATCATGGCTAGTATCAAGAATAACTGATACTGTGCTTTTGTGTCTTTTCCCAGATTTTAATAATTAAATTGTCAACAAGGTAAGTTCCTTGTTTTGTGGGCCATGTTTGATAAAATATATCCCCCAGCATAAGTTGGGGCAATTAAAAATCCCTCATCACAATTATTCTATGTATCTTTGAAAATTCTACAGTTTATTTCTATATAACACACATCTTTTCTTTGTGCTTGTGTTGTGATAATGGTCATCAGCAACAGTATTACTTTTGTTCATTCCTCCATATATTTTAATCCAGCATAGTGTAGTTTCACTAAATCATTCCTTGGGTTTCTGAGGTGATGTGGATTTTTTAAACCCACAACTGTCTTTTGATATTTCTATCACTTCCTTTTGAATAAATTGTGTTCTTCAGTTCTATTCTAGTTGTAGAAATCATATGACCCAGGTTTCCATTATTCTTAATAATATGCTTTCTTTTACTACATTCATCTTATTTTATTTTCCATATTCTGAACATTAATGCATAGACCCAGGTCACAAATTTTATAAAATAACTTTCTGATTTTTTTATTAAGTAGTTTCAAAGACCCTGCTACTGCGACAGAAAAAAAAATAGCTTACCATGCTTAAGCTACTTTTACTAACCATTGTAGATTGCAGTGCATAATGTTTCAATAGTCCATTATCTGGATAATTCAGACTGTGATTCCACAAACCTTTCTCTCTTGGACACGATGTCATTCATCTGTCTTTTTTGAAGGGTTTTCTGTGGATACCCTTTGAGTAAATGAGAATATAAATGAATAAATTAAAAGACTAGGTTATTGAGTTCCCTTCCTTATCTGTTAAATTATGATATGATTATAGCTGTACATATGTCCCCGTATGTACAGCTTGGGAGAAGCAACAATTGTTTGTAAACTTGCTAAATCTTGGAAGTTCTTTCAGATTCCTGATTCTTACTTCTGGTACTTAACATATAGTACCTCACAAACTCACTTATCCTGTTAACATATAGTATGCTTGTTTTAGTTCTTTATAACAACAGATTAGTTGTAACTTTTTTCTATGATAGAAGAATATTTTCATGGTAGAAGAGTACTTGTAGCTCAGGGTTAAACTGTGACATCCCTGATACTATCTAAGCTCAATTGTTTTCTTGCAAATATTTCCTTATCCAACTAGGTAATACCATCAGTTTTTTCCCTCCATATTTTCTTGAGAAGTGCTAATGTATCCTTTCTGTCTTTCAAAGATCTATATCCTTTCTTTTGTTCTACAGTATCTTTTCTCTTGAAGGCTCCAACAGTACAGAATGTCCTCTGTCTTTTGTTCCTGATTCTCTTCTGCCCTTTTTATTGTCTTATTTGTAGATAGTTGCCTCCATTGTCAGCAACTTTGGTAAGCCCTTCTTTCATTTAATCATAAACATCTTCACTGCTGTCATCAGCTGATGTACAACCAATTGTTGTTCCAGTCATCTCACTTTTTAGATGGATACCACTAATATTTGCATACTGCAAATAGGTGTCAGCTTGTTTCCAGGAAAAAACATAAACAAGCCACAAATACTACAAGTGATGACTGCAAATGAAATCTGAAATCTTATTTTAAGTTAATCATATTACCATCATTCAAGCACTTTGTAGCAATTTGAACTTGTATGTGAATTGGTTGTTTGGCTTGCCTTAATGACAAAAAGAGCTTCTGTGTAATATATTGTTTAATATAAGTCATTATTTTTTTCTTAGAGGAAAATTCAAACACATATTAGCAATAAAATTCTAAACAAACAATTTAAAATGAGAGTAAGGTAAAACATAATAGTTGTAGGATAAAATACAATAATTTAATACATAAATATGTAAAATAGAATAAAATGACATAAAATTATATTTCTGTATCACCCCTGTAATATACCCCAATCAAGCCCACATATGCTGATTTCAGTCAGACCATTTTAGTCAGAATTGTGCTGTATTGAATGTTGTTTTCAGATTCTGGCCACACATGAGGTATGTTGTTTAAATATTGGCAAACACGGAAGCTGGCCTTATTTATTATTTTGTATTTTTATCACAGAATGCCTTAAGAATTTAGGTATTGTAATAAGAACAACCGATATGCAGGGTTCACTAAAAAAAAAGAAGCCATCATACCTTCTCCTTGATCATGGTTTGTTTTTTGGAACAAATCACAAGTTGATGTGATAACGTGTTGATATACAGACTCTGGCTTACTATTTTCGAAAACCAAATCATATCTCATTCTTGATTTAGACTTTATGAAGCTGAAGGCAAACTTGACTATGCTATTTCATGATTTATTTTCATATGTATTGACCTGCATCTTTGTCTGAGATAGATAATAGATAGTTAACTTCTTTCTCTCTGCACAAGTTATTTTTATCTACATAAACAAAACATTTAATTACAATTAGTCTTTATGGTTAATTTGAATTGTATAATGTATGTTATCTACTTGAATAAAAATATTTATATAAAACCAAATACAGTGCAAACATTACCCATTGTTTATATTTCCATTTGGTTACCTAACAGATGGTAACCAGAGACCCCAATGTGACTTTTCTTTTCCTTTCCTACAAACTGTACACAATCTTTTTTCTTTTCCAATTATGAAGAACTGATAGTACAGTTGCCACTGCCCTTTTGAATTTTTTTACTCTTCACTAGCAGACAACTCTCCATACTGTTCAGAGCCTGCTTTGTGAGGAGAATAAAGGTCTGTTGAAAGATCTAAAAACTAGTGGAGTGGAGAAGCAGGAATAACTAGTATCTGGGCTGAAAACATAGAGAAGGAGAATTTTTAATAATGATTGGAAAGTGTCTGTATCTTTTTTCCTAGGTGCTTGTTAGACCTTACTGTGCAACCTTGTAAGTTAGATCATCATATGATCTGGCAGGAAAATGAACTGAGGCTGAGAGAGTTACTAGTTTGAGGCTATTTACTGAGTCTGAATTGAATAACAATCCCCAAATTCTAAGACTAATTTGTCACATGTGGTTTATTTTGGCACAAGAATATCCTGGCAAGCCACTTTTTTCTTCCTTGATCAAATGTTGTTGGCTTTATCTTGTGCCAAGCCCAAGATGTCAACAATTATATGCTGATGCTTCAAGGCCCTAAAAATTATCTATTTTCTGTGTTAAATGTGTCACCTAACCAAACCCTGCAGATTTGTTCTGTTTTTTTCTGTCTCATTTTCTCTGTTGGATATGGCCAACTCAACTTTTATCACTCACAGGATAAATTCCACAGAGAGGCCTATTTTGAAGGGGAATGCATTTTTATTAATTATTTATAGTTAACAGGACTCCTGCAATTTACTAGGGTTCTTACGTATGTTCTTATTTTCTTTTCAGACAGGTAATTGCAAATTGCCAAATAAATAATCCCGTATGTGCTATATCAAATCATATAAGAAACATGTGTTTTCTGAAATCAGCAACAATACAAAAATATAGTTAATTCTACCTGCTTAGTTTATCAATTAATTTATCAATAACATGTTCAGACTTAGACCAAGATATTATAATATCAGTAATTTCGTATTTTGTTTTCACATGCTTCTCATGTTAAAATTGGGGAGTAATGCTATCTTTAAGCACTTATCTTTAAAAAAAAATCAATTACTGTTGAATGGCTAATATTAAAGGATATTACTAACTTCCTTATGTCCTTTTCTAGCCTTAAGAAATTGGAAATGTTTGGCTGTCAAGCCATTACGGACAAATGCTTGAAATCGATTTCTACTAAATGTTTAGGTCTAGAGGTTCTGAATATTGGCAGAGTTCATAGAATCTCGCAGGACTGTTTAGTGCAAACGGTAAATTCATTGCAAAAGCTTACAAGCCTCAATGTCACAGGCCTTGAAATGGTAAGAGCTGTTTACTTATTTCACCCATTTCCCTCCATTAATTATTTCTTTTTTGCTTGGGTTCAATTTGTCATATTACATATATCAAAGGTTGACAACTTAAAAATGTAAACCATTGAAGGATTTATAGGCTTCTCAGTATAGAACAACACTGAGATTTTATGTTGCTTTTTAAAAAAACAAATCAGTCTTCTGGATATAAATTTGGAAACTGAACGCTAAAGTGAATATTCACAATATTCACAAATTATGGAAACAGGTGCAAATTGTATATAAAGGTGTTATAATTCAGACACTGAAATTAAAATGTCACCCCTGAGCCCTACAGTCCTAGGCAATTATTTTCCACTTTAAAACTTTCTTCTTTAGGGAAAGCTTCAGTAATCCCTAAAAGTAATAGATCTTTTACACTTAATAAACTTATTGACTAAAATATACTAATAAAAGATGCTTTTAAAGTTCTAAATTAGTTTTCTCCCAGCCTGGTATTCCCTCTTCTGATGCTAGGACAGACTGGATCCAGAGGAGGCCAGCCTGCCACTACATGTATTCATTTGTTAAATTTATATGCCGCCCATCTTACTGTCAAGTGACTTTGAATGGCTTACAACGTCATAAAAGCAAAATATAAAACATTGAAACATTAAAAATTAAAATTTACAGAAATTTGATGAGTTAGAAACTGGAAGCCAATTGGGGTAGGGGTGGGATCTTCTTTATCAGGGGTCGCCAACCTTTTGGACCTCAGGGACCACCAAACTCATAATTTTAAATCCCGCAGACCAGAGACCCTGGGAAAATCCCCCCAAAAGCCTGGATGAAAATTCCCCACCCCTTTTTCCTACCGATCAATCATTCTTTATTTGGGATTGCAGGATACTGTCTCCAGCTCTGTTCTCGGTGGGGGAGGGAGAGACTTTTGGCTTCATGCAAAGAAAGCAGCAGAAGCAGCAGAAGTCTTTATCTCCCCCAAATTCTGCCAGAAATGAGTATTTGTGAGACTTGTCACGCTAGCGCAGCCTCTTAGAGCAGGATGCCTTGCAGGGTCCCAAAGACTCATTTCTGGAGGAGTTTGGGAGAGAAAGAAAGACTTTTGCTGCTTTCCTTGTGTGCAGCCAGAAGCAGAAGAAGAAAGAAGTGAAAAGAAGCAGCCCAGTGGCCAGGCCAGGCGCGTGGGGTGAGTGGGGCAAGTTCCCGCTTCCGTCCTTTTCCCCCTCCCCTCACTACCTCATGTTGTTCATAATGCAAGCGACGCAAGCCTTGTGTTCCCATGGGCCATGTGGGTGGTGCAGCCTTGTGTTCCCGCGCAGCCTTTATTAATTGCTTTGGGGGTTGCTTTGGGGGTGATATTTCTCTGCGGACCACCAAAATTTTCTCGTGGACCACCAGTGGTCCCTGGCCTATTCTTTATAGTCCACTAATGAGCTCCAATGTGGAATGCTCTCATCGGGAGCCAGGCCAATCAGCAGAGCCTGTTTGAGGCTCTTTCAAAATGACAAGAACATGGGAGCAGATCTCACTTTGAGGAGCACTATGTTCTAGGGAGCTACAGCAGAAAAAGTCCTTATTTTGGATCTCGCCAGCCAGAATTCTTTAACAAAAGGGTCCACAGCATGCCTCTTCTGCTGGAATGAGCGGTGTGGGCCAATCCCATTGAGGTGAGATGGTTCTGCAGGTAGCCTGGACCCATTGCCATAAAGGGGTTTAAAGGTTATAAGCAACACCTTGAGTTGGATGTGGAAGCAAACCAGCAACCAGTACAGTTTGTGCAACAGCAGTGTTAAATGTACCACTCTAGGGGCTCCTAGAACTACCTGCGGGGCTGCTTTCTATGTCAGCTGTAGCTTCCAAATACTCTTCCAGGATAGTAGCCCCATACAGAGTGCACTGTAGTCATCCAGGATATGAGTGATTGAGCAGCAATTTTGGAGCAAGGTGTTCTTTTGGGTATCGAGAACCGAAGTCATGCCAGGGTTTATTTGGATTTGCAGATGAAAATCAATGCAACAGGTGCCACATAGGTTAACTGCAGAATGTTTATAATGATTTATGGTATCTTTGCAAAGGCCCTCCCTGCCAAGGCTGTCCCTTGGCAGGGAGGGCCTTTGCAAAGATACCATAAATCATTATAAACATTCTGCAGACTTTACTAGGCATTACTAGGCAATGCGTTGAGATATACATCTATATATCATCCGTGTATTGATAGGGATAATCTTACTCAGATGTTAAATAGAAGTGGGGATACAATTAAGCCCTAAGGAAAATCTTACAAAGCTAGGGTCTCAGGCTTGTGCCTACTAACTCTGAATGGAACCGACTCCAAGAAAAGAAGAAAATCACCCTATTCCCTACCCTTAATTCTTGAATCAGCCACTCCTTAGATGTTCTTATTTCCTCTGCTTTCCTAAAAGGGTTAGGAAAGTAATACTGTAGACTTGTATATAAACCTATCAAAAGAGTTATGGGAAAACATATGCCAATACACATTGAACATTAATCTATAAAAAAATACACTGGAGCTGGTTTCCTTATTGTACTGAGAATAAGGAATTTGACTTGCAGTGAATAGCTCAGTTCTATTATTTAAAGACAATCCTTCACATTGGCTTATTTCCTGCGTTTGTCTTGTCTTGGGCTGCAGATGAGGGATTCTCTAGTACATTATATTGTGAAGTGTCCTAAATTGGATTGTTTGGTTCTTAATTCGTGTGCTCACATAACTGACATCAGTCTAATTGAAATTAGCAGGGATTTGCCAGGGATCAGGTAAGATAATACATTGAAAATGCACTTGTCCTTGAATTTATATATTTTGGTATTATTCAAATAATTTTCAGTGATGTTACATTATTAGTTAAGTTGACATTTTGTTTTGCCTGTTTGCTGTTAGTGACCTCAAATGCACTGAATAAAAAGTCCTTGAAGCTGTACTGGTTAGCGCTATTTCTGCGGCAACTACTGAACATTTTGTTGTGCTATCAAATGTATATGGTTTTAAAAAGTAAAATTTTAAAGTGTATTAGATTCTTAACATTCTGCTATTTTAATAATAAACTTAAAATAAAGAACTGGAACCAAATTATAATTGAAGCTGAAAGTTATAGAATTGTGGTTACTATTGATCACAGTTTAAACTCAGAGAGGGAATCAAGTAACATGTATTCAATAAATGAAGTATGGGTTTAGCAGGATAGTCTGTTCTGAAACTCATTTCTAATCTGTTTAATCAAAGAAGATATAAGAAATCCTATAGTTGCACATCTCTGTGACTATTTATCTCCCCCTTAGTGTAATAGTTATGTTTCTTTGCTTTGGATAAAAAAGTTGTTTTTTTCTTTATTTTACTAAAATTATGGACAGTATCTTGATGTTTCTTTTGCTACCGCTGCAACTCATATCTATTTCCTTCTGCATTTATTCCCAAGATGACACACTTTGATTTTTAAAATGTTGCCTTACTCATGGTTTGCAATCACATGTCTGGGAAGGGGAAATTATACACATGAGGGAATCTGAGTACAAAGACAAAATGACTTAATTAGCAGACCAGCGAAAAGCTGTGGACATAGTATACTTGGACTTCAGTAAGGTATTTCATATAACTTATTTCCTGATAAGATAGAAAAATATGGGATAGACAGCATTATCACCAGTCGGATTCGTAACTGGCTGACAAGCTGCCCTCAACATATAGTTCTCAATGGAACTACACCTAAATGGAGGGAAGTATGCAATAGGGTGCCCCAAGGTTCTATCTTAGGCCCAGTACTCGTCAACATTTTCATAAACAATTTAGTTGAAGGAATAGAAGGGTAACTTAACAAATTTGCAGATGACACCAAGCCAGGGGGAATAGCCAAAACTTTAGAAAATAGGCTCAAGATCCAGAAAAAATCTTAACAGGCTTGAACAATTGGCCCTGTCAAACAAAATGTAAATCAGCAGCGAAAAAAGTAAGGTTTTACACTTAGGCAAGAAAAACCAAATGCACAGGTATAGAAGATGGTACCTGGCTTAAGAGCAGTAACTGTGAGAGAGAATCTAGGAGGATCTAATGGTCAAACACTTAAGTATGAGCCAGCAGTGTGCTGCAAATGCCAAAAAAGGCAATGTAGACCTAGGCTACATAAACAGAGGAATAGTATCAAGATCACATGAAGTATTAGTTGGTATACTGTGTCCAGTTCTGGTCTCTGCAATATGAAAAAGATGTTGAGACTCTAGGAAGAGTGCAACAGTGACAAAGATGATTAGCGGTCTGAAAGCGAAAATATGAGAAAAGGTTGCAGGACTTGAGTATTTCTAATCTAAAAAATAAACTGAAGGACTAAGGGTGACATGATCCAATATTTGAAAGATTGACACAAAGAAGAGAGGGACAACATTCTCCAAAGCATTTGAAGGTAAGACAAGAAGCAATGGTGATCATTTGATCCTGGGATGCTGCCACCATCATAAATACATGCCAGGTGCCCAAATTTTCATCATGTGACTGTGTGGGGATGCTGCGACGATTAAGTGCTGTCACTTCTTTCAGTGCTGTTGTAACTTTGAACAATTACTAAGCTAATGGTTGTTAGTCAATTAGTACATTACAGCATCCTAGGCTGTTGTGAAGAAATCAATGCATATGAAGGCCAATACCAGCTAAAGAATTGTGACAACTGTGATTTCACATTGTTGTGTGTGTAGCAATAATAAAAAATGTCAATGGAAACATCCTTAGTCTTCTGTACAAAAACTGCACATGAAACTAGGCTTCTATATTTTCTTTTCAATTTAAATGACATACAACTAATAAAAATACAAATGAATACAATAGCACTAAAGGATCAAATAATTATAAAATTGATAACCGAGGAAAGGAAAAATGAAAAAAAAAGTTGAAAATTATGAGCAGAACGATTCTGAAAACTTTACCTATGTTGTTCAAAAATATCTCCTCTGCCACTTAGTTGAAAGAACAACAATTCAAATGCTCATCTTCTAAATAGCCAATTAGTTAACTGACTTTCCATGCAGCAGTAATACCCTAGCTCTTTCAAATCTTCCCCCCGCCAAAGTACACAGGGAGCCAGTTTCTGTGTCAGGTTACTGTTTTTTGCATCCTTTCAGGTACCTTGATGTTAATGGATGTAAAGACGTGAGTGATATTGGAGTTCAAGCTTTGGCAAGGAATTGCCATAAACTTTCTTATCTTGATTTGAGCTCCACAGCAACAAGCAAAAGAGGGTAAGATATTTGGTAAAACTTTTGCACATTTAAAAATGAAAATAGGTGACAAAAATTAAGGCTGATTTTAAGAGTCTCTTTAATATTAACTATATTGTCAGTGCAAGCAGTGACATAATACTACCATTGGTTAAAATCATTTTAAGTCACTATAAAATTAGTCGCAAAGTAGTTAATTTTCATAGCAGTATAGTCTTCAACTTACGACCACAACTGAGCCCAAAATTTCTGTTGCTATGCAAGACAGTTGTTGAGTTTTGCACATTTGATTATCTTTCTTGCCCCAGCCGTTAAGTGAATTACATCAGTTGTTAAGTTAGTATCATAATTGTTAAGTGAATCAGACCCATGGCATGAAAGGCTTTAAAAGTGATTACCAACACCTTGAATTGCACCCGGGAAGCAAACCGGCAGCCAGTGCCGCTTGCAGAGCAGTGGTGTTACATGACCAATTCTTGGGGCCTCAAGACCTGCCCTCAGTGCTGCACTCTACACTAGCTGTAGCTTCCAAAGGTAGCCCCATGTAGAGCGTATTGCAATAATTCAAACACAAAATGACTAAGGCTTGAAGATTGAGCACATGTGTGTCCTGATTAATGTTCATTTCTTGATCTAGTAATACAAAAAATTCATAGAAATTTGATAGGAAACTTAGAAAACATCATGAATATAGTACAGAAAACTTACTTGAGCCATGTAGACTTGAATTGATCAATAGTGCCAGTTAATCTACAAAAAGTGCTATTACTAAATTAGTTCAAGTAAACATTGGTTTTTAAAAGGCTTGTGGATAGGTGTTTACACCCATACTGTGGTTGGACAGTGGGCATCAGTTGCTGCAACATTCCAGTTTGCCCATAAGTATAATGAATTTTAACATCTGTGGAGGTCTGAAAATCTATTAATTAAGATATAGAGTGGAGAGTAGACCAAATAACTTTTCCAGTACATTTTCAATTTCCCTGAGTTGTAAAACATTAAGCTCTGTATTCTAGGTAGCTATGGTAACGTCACCATAATTGTGATTCCCAGATTGCTTAAATACATTACTGTATTGCTAACCTGAGTTTTATCTGATTGATTTGACTTATCTTTTGTTCAGCCCCAATTTAACTTTCTTTTACGACTATTTTTTCCTATGAACTATTCAAACGCCACTGCACTAGAAGTTCTTATTGCAATGATATAGATGGTAGTACAACATTGTACCCATTACTGCAGGATTTTGATGATGTTTTCATTACTCTTCAATGGAACACACTTCAAAAAGTTGAATTACTCTCATATACATTCCTTATTTGCTGTTATGAAGCTTATATGTAAGTTATTCCCTGATCATTTAGACCCCTGAGAACTTCAAATTAGCTTTGCTCACTTTCTCATTTTATCAGTAGCCAGTTTTGACTGGCATCAATCTGTGAATTTAGTAAAAGGTGTGCAAGAAAATGCATACATAACATATCGTAGTATACTGTACATTTCTGATATGGACATTTTTGTATCCATTTACCTAACATGCAGACTTTTTTGCAAGCATTTTCTTATGCTTAATTTTTTTTGCAAAAAAAATTATCTAATATAGATTTTTTCTTAAACTACAAAGAGTGCCAAAACTGGTTGATTTTTCAGATTTGGGAGACACAGATTTTAAATTTATATAACATTATCTTTTAACTATTCCCAATGCTAAGAATACTATATCAGTCAGTGGGAAGTATCACTCAGTGTTACTATTGCATGAATTTAAATATATGAGCAGAGACAAGGCACATTCATTTTCCTGTCCACAATATAGTTAGATAAAAATAATTGTATGCTAAGTTTAGTCCCCACTCAATCTCTTTGACCCAAATATATTTCAATGAATCTTGAGTAAATGGAAGCTGACACAACTTACATGGTAAAAACCACAATATCTTTCTGAAAATTTGAATGTATGTGAGATTTCTATTAGTTAAAAGACTGCTCCTATTTTTAGTGCCCTTATACCTTTTCAAGGTAACAGATATATATTAAACAAAAAGTCCTTTTCTGATTTAACAGATAAGGCATTACAAATTAAGGTGTTTTCCTCACATATTGCCATTAAAGATAAATAGGATCTTGTTTACCAACTGGAGGACAAAAGATGGCAGTGATGACCACTTAGCATTATGTTTACTCAGTTATTGTGTTCATTGTCCAGGAACGCAATGAATATGGGAGAGACAACTACAGGTTTGTCAGAATATCATCTTCTTTTGTAGTGCTCACAAACAGTCACATCATGGGCAAGGCCAACAATCATTTAGGAGAGTGAATCTTTTCTACAGATTCACTGTGTCCAACCAACACGGGCAAAAGGCCTTCTGCTCAATTTGCTGACTTATGATGATGGATGAAACTTTTTATTTCTTTGAAGACCAGCCATCACACCCATCAACAGTAATGCAGAGATTGGCTTATAGGGGCTCCTTTCTCAGCTGCTTTCAGTGGGAAGGACCAAAAGTAGGAAGAATTAGCTAGCAATAGAAGTAAAGCATTACTTTTTGATCTGGCATCTAAAGCTGCAATGAAGAGCCAAGGAAAGAAAAAGAGAAAGGCATGGCCATAGGATCACTCGGGTGGCAGAGCTATTCTTCCATCATCTTAAATCACTAGTATCTTCTAGGAAAGAGTAAGGCTATGACAGGATTCCCCCAAAAGGTCTCTAAACTAGCCTTCTAATGATCGTGAAGCAATTTGTAACTTAAATCCTGTCTTAGCACAACAGTAAAAGTCTAATACTAATGAAAATTGTAGATATGGTTAAGGTAGATAAGCTAACCAAATATGCCATGAATTAACTAGAGAAAACAGGACCATTCTCTTTACCATGTCACTGCAATTGTTCATGATTAAAGACATAGACCCATCCAATATTGTACAAATAATGTATCCAAGATGCTTGTCTAATTATCTTTTCAAATTTTATAGTAAAAACATAATGTAATTTGTTCTTGGATTTCAGGGTTTGCTTGCTGGCTAATTTCTGCTTTAATACCTTAAAGTGTCTGAAGCTTAGTTTCTGCAGAAATATATCTCTAGACGCAGTTGTAAAACTATGTAAAAACTGCAAAAGGTGAGTGTAATTTAAACTGATGCAAAAATTCAGACTATTTCATTTCAGTAACCTGTTAATAAACAGGGCAAGCTCGTTTTAACTATTGAAATGGAGTTGCAAGGAGTAGATATCCCAGTGGTCTACAGATTTTATGGATTATTGGTCATAATAATCAGGAGATTTAGAGGTTATAAACAGTGTTATTTAGTCCTTAGTATATGATATGTTTAAAATAATAAAAAAGAAACTGCCAGTGGATATGACCAAGATTTATTATAAGAAAAAGATATGGGGAAAAAGAAGAATAGGATCTCTATGTCCCCTACATCCAAAAGACAAAGTAGTTTTAATGTGTTCCTACTTCATGAAATTTGATGCTTCAATGTGTGATAACAACTTTAATTTTAATGGTTTGAGTAAAGGTTTAGACAAATTCATAGTAGAACATTTTTTTGATATTCAAGGATAAATGTTAATATAGCTTTAGAAATGAATTTCATCCACACACAGTAAATTAATGGGAACCCTAATCAAGGTTAGAAATGGAGGGGCAATGGACTGAAATATCGAAGAAAAGTACATGTGGAAATGTTGCAATGCTCCACATTACATTTTATTGTATGCCCTCCTGTTTTAAATAACTAAATTAGAAATTCCTAACCTTTGGGGACCATTGGAAGGACCTGAAATTTGGAGAACTTGTTTTGAACATTTCTTATTAAATGCCTGATATTTTTAACAGGACCAGTTACAAAATATTCATTTATCAGAATTTATTCTTTATATTCACTATCCCATCAAGTATCTCAGAATGTTCTCTATTTCCTTGTGTCGCTTCCTTTTTATTTTTCTGGATAGATGATCACTTGTATCATCCTGAGTATATTTGGATTACAAGCATTTTTTCAATAAAGATTTTTCTTGAGATGGACTTTATCCTGCACAAGCTTCCCATTAGCTTTGGAAAAAATTAACATTTCAAAAAGAGAGAGACTGAAACCTGCTTCCTGTTCAAGCATTGATTCAGTGCTTTAATCTTTATCCTTAGCCAAACCAGTGCTATAAGAGAAAAACATTTGTATTTCCAGACAATGTAAATCTGTTAGGTAAACAGCTTTAAGTTTTCAGTAGATGTCACCAACTTTACTAACTATAGACCTATATTTTTATATCTCAAGTTACACTAAATTAATATTCAACGGGTGTGGTTATGATTCTTTTGTTACTTAGATGGTGCTTTTTTTTTGAACAATTTTTATTAATTTTTAAAAACATACAAAACATACAAAAATACAAGACATAAAAACATAAAAGATCTCTTTTCTGAAAGTTGCTTAATCCCGGGTCAAAAATCTTGGTACAGACACACATTCAAATTCATATTCATTTTACATACCATTCCATATCTTATTACATTTTCATTTTTCTATATAGCTTCTCCTTTCTTTTAAATTTTCTCAATTTTATTTTATTTATCTCCTCTCAGTTCAAATCATAATATTTATTATTCTTTGTCTGTTCTATTTCCAACTATCCGTTTATCTTTCTTCTTAAAAGAAAAAAAAGAAAAACCTTCTCCTGTACACTGATTGGAGTATGACGCCTATGTCTCTTTCCCCTATATTTATAATACTTGATTTAAAGTACATAACTTACGTTGGGATTCTGTCTGGTACATTCTGACATTATACAATATCATCAAAACCAATACAAATCTATTCATTAATATTAATATTTATTCATATCTTAAACATCTAGCACATTTCTTATCAATTAGGTCACATATTTCTATGGGAGCACCTATTTGCCATATTAATTCCGCCCCCCACATCACATATTATAAATCATTATTACATTACATGTTCCCCTCTCCTTCTTCAAACCTCTCATTTCACGAATAGTTTCACTAGTATAACATGGCCTAATCATTGGTATTAACAATCATTTATATCTTTAGACATTTTACCCATTTCAATTAATTATCATACCTTTATGGGAACACTTCTTATACTTTCCAAAATTATTCCCCCCCCCCACATCACCGATCTTAAATCATTATTTCATTAAAGTACTCCCCTCTCTTAACAAAAATTTCACTGAATTATACTAAATATTTTATCACATTTTAAATTGCATATTATTTCCAGTCTTCTATAATTATTTCTAAATACAAATATAAAAATGCAATCTTATGTACCCTTCTAGAATCCCTTTTCCAATAAAATCTATCCATTATCTCTAAAAAACTTTTGTTTTTTTGCATTTTGCTCCCCACCATTAAAGCTTCTCATCCCTTCCTTTCTCCCTTGCTTCTTCTTCTCCTTATCCTCTCTCCACCTCCCTTTTATCCTGTTTTCCCCCTTTCTGTTGTTTCCTAACACGATATCCCCTTTTCACCTTATTCTTCTCTTTTTGGATTGTTTTCCCAGGTCTTAAAGTCTTCTTCTTCTTTTTCTCCTCCTTCTTTTCTTCCCCAACCAAAGTCACTTGTTCTTCAAAAATGGCTTCTTCTTTATCCTGCTCATACGATTTTACATAAGCACAGACTGCCATTTCTATAAACTGAAAAAGAGTGCCAAAGACATCTTTTCCTTCTTGCTTTTCTCTTTCATATTTTTGGTGTATAAGTTCTAGTTCATCCACAACTGATGCCATTGTACAGAGAAATTTTTTTTTCAAAACAACCACCCGAGTGCTTTTAGTCTGAGATAATTCTCATAAAATCCAAAGTCATCAAACAGTCCAATCAGCTGATTCTTTTTAATACTTTCTCTTTTTCCACTTTCTCTTTTTGGGATAAAGTTTGATCACAAAGTTCTCTTTAAATATATCTTTAGGAAGTCTTATTGCTGTTTAATAACTCTTTAAAATTAGCTCTTTAAAGTTTTAGGCAGTCTTCTCCTTATTTTCAGGTTGCTCCAATTTTTTTTTTTCCTCTCCCTTCCCACTCACAGCCAAAAAAAAATTCTTCTTTTTTTTTTCCCCTTTGAATATTCAGAAATCCTTGCTCCTTCAATATTCATTTACCTCCAGAACAGATTCCCGGATTTCTCTTATGGTTCCACTGCTGTCACGTTAGGGAGGAGAGTGAAAGGCAAAAAAAAAACAAAAAAACCTTTCTCTTTTGAAATGTTCGCCGCTTGTATCTCTTTCTAGAAACAAAGTATCCTTAGCAGCCTTCGAGGTTACAGGGCACTCTCTCTTAACTTTATCCCAGTCAGAAGCAACTTCCACAGCTCTTCCCTCTTCCTCCAGCACAAATCTTACCCGGCTGCAGGCTTCTTTGAGGCGGCCATTACTGACCGCCGCTCCACCACCTCAGGAAAAAGGGGTTATTCCGGCTGGAAAGGGGGTCTGCGTTACCCCCAAACCTCTGTCCGGATCCTCTCTCTTCGGCTGCCTCTACAAGGCAGCCATAGCCCCCAGACCTGTTTAGATCGGGGGCACCTTGGCGGCGAGCGCGGCAGGGATCGCAGAGGCGCAAATTCCTGCCGCTACCGAAGCCGCGCAAAACCGGAAGCCACTTAGATGGTGCTTTTATTGCTGCATATCCCTTTAGAATTGATGAGAAATCTAACTGTAATTGATTCATTTATAAAATATTGCTCAAAATTAGGTGAATGAAACAACCAATATATCTTAACATAAACTTACAGATGTGAGAAATATAGTATAGTCTGGCTATAGTACGGAGTAAAGCAAACATTTATGCTACCAGTAATAAGGAAAAGGGCAGCAGAAATAATGCCAGGGATATAAACATGTAGAGAAGTTTCATTCCCCATTGCTGATACAGTAATTCTTGGAACTGGTCCACATTTCAGGAAGTTAGCCAGATTGATAAAACGTGTAATAAAAGGTAGGAAAGAGATTGTGACCTGTATAATGTATAAGTCTAAAAATTGGACTGCTCAACTCCTGTAACTTAAGGATATTTATAAAGGTAGAACTTTAGAATATTTGTTGTGTTGTTTTGCAGGTGATTTGAAGACATTATTACTTTTAAGCTGTAGTAGAGCTTAATTTTCTAAAGAATAATTATCTGTGTTTTCACACTTATGTTAAGAACCAGTATATGCTCAGGTGCAATTTAGTGTACATTAATCAAGTATGAAGTGCTATAATTAAATATGGAGCAATTTGCTTCCAATATCTTCTATTGTTTGTTTTATTTAATAGTTTTAGTGAAATAACCTTTAATTTCTTTTCAGATAAATGACTGATCACTTAAAACTTCTTTAATACATTCTTTAGATATATTGTAATACCAACCTCACTGTTTATTATGTATGTCACATTGCTGTTTCCTAGGAATAAGAGCAAAATTAAAATGTCAGGTTCAGTTTACTTACAGAAACACACCCAGTGACTCCCATTTGCTTCAAATTTTAGCAGTATTTTACGAATTATATATATTGCAGTATTTATACTCTGCAATATATTTCACAGTAAATAAACATCTGAATTATTATAAAGAAACATAACAGTGGTTGTGGAATAATTGTGATAATTTGGCAACTATGATTCTATTATTTTACTGATATTCTTTTTTCATTCCAACAGACTGCAAATACTTCACTTATACGGTTGCCGCTTTATACCTGATTTGGAATCCATTACGAAAGTTAATAAAACTGTTAAAATATTTCATGACCTGACAATTGCAACTGTGAAGTTGTTACCTGAGTGAGAACTTTGCCAAATTTTTCAGTAATTGTCTAATGAATAGTTTAGTTTGACTGTGATTTTTTTAATGTGGTCAAAATGTAGAAACTTACCTTTATCCAATACTTCCTATTTGTGTTATTTTGTCATCTGTGGAATAGTTAAAATGAAGAAAATCCTGTTAGAGCTGTTTTCAAGATACATTTCCAGTTTCTTTGATGATATAACTACCATCACCAAATTTAAATGACGTGATGTTCTCAGAAGATCTAACCTCTCCAGATATTAGAAATTTAAATTAGAGCTGCATTCTGACTGATATCTCTTTTAAAACCAATACCTACGTAATATATTTTGGAACAAAACCTTCCTTTGCTTTTTTATGTGGAGATCTCTGCCTTCATTGCTTACACTATGGCTCATAAAAATAAATCGTCTTTTGTTGAATGTTTTTTTCTTCCAGTTGCTTGAATAACATGGGTTGTCCCTCTGGCTGCTACACTGATGCCAATCCGACATAGGCGGGAACTGGCTGCCTGAATAATACATAAAAAACCATCTGTTTTGTAAGCTGCATTTTCTATGACACCACTAAATGACACCATATTTGATCTTAAGAAGAGAGTCAAAGCAAAGGTTTTGAACATTATGGCAAGATAAATATCAGCCTTCCCACAATGTTGCATTTCACTTGGGAGTCAAATGCAAATTTTTGATAGGAGTGTACCAATAACCTTTGGTCACAGCATTTTCAGATAACATCGGCACACTGTGTGTCACCAGTGGATGCAAAATTTTGCTGTTAGATATTTTTCCGTTTCCTTGGTTATACTAAGAAGACCAGCCCAGCTACCTCAAATATCTCAGAAACCATCTCTGCTCTGGATGTAACTTACCTCAGAAGAAAATCATCTAAGTCCTTTCATCTCATAAAGCTAAATTCGTCTCCACAAAATGTTTCTTAAACCTAAAGCTTTTCCAAAACATTCTGTAATAATCACATTTACCTTATCATCAGACCATAATCATGATTTTAGAAACCAATCCTTTATAAATAACCAATAAAAATTTTGGGCACTAATTAAAAATTCTTAAGCAGATGCTTATATTTAGTATAGGAATACACAAGAGATGGAATACCTGTTTTCATACATATATATGTTTTCTTAAGTTTTCGCGGGTACTTACATGTATGGTATTCAGCTTTGTTCGGGTATTTTCCCACGTCATTATAGTTGTGCTTTTAAAGTTGTAGCAACGTTTTGGCAGAATCTCATCTGCCATTATCAGGCTTCTGTACTGTGTTCATCTGTGAGTCAGACTTTCACAGCCGTTTCAGTTTTAAATTTGGGGCTAGCCTACTGCTATGCCAGAATGGTTTTTTCTTCATCCTGATTGGTTGGGAGTCTTGGTCTGTGTTTATTGGTCTTGGAGTTTGCTGTGTTCTGCTTGATTGGTGTTTCGAATATCTTACTCAGAGCCAAGCCGCACTAAAAGCCTCCAATACAGGAACACAATGTTGCCAGCCAATCAAGACAAAAAAAGTCACAAAACAGACAGAAGATATTAGAAAGGAAGGAATATTAGTTATGTTCACCATCTTGAGTTACTTATAAAAATAATAAAGGCCTGATAAAAAATACTATTTCAGACATTGGGGGTTTAAACCACAAAATCAGAATTTGAATCTGTCCCCTTATGGTACTAATTAAGCATTTATGAAATTTTATTTATCAAGCTTACATAGCTGCCCATCTCAGAGGTGACTTTACATGGCATACTACAAGCAAAGGATTCACCTGTCAGTTTATTACTGTTTCTCACTTTGTTGCCTCATCTTTATTTCCATTTCAGTCAATTAATGACCCAAACCCATGCCAACAACTCTGTAGCTAAACAAAGCAGTCCCAGTTCTTATCATAAAAGGAATCTGACGTTGTTAGGTGAAGATTCACCTAGATTCAAGGCAACCCTGACTTGGTCCCTCACAGCCCAGAGCTTCAATTCTTCAACTTCTTGGAGAACTTCTTCAACTCCCTCCATGTATCTTTCTCTCCCCCAGTTCTGCTCTTTCAGATGCCCTGAAGAGGCTGCTGTATTCCCCTGAAACCATCCCAGTAGACCTCCCCCATGTCCTTCAGGTGCAATCATCATGTTCTTCCTGTCTCTGCTAGGCTTGCCACTACTACCAAGAAGCACTGCCGTCTGCTGCAACAGTCATAAGCAGGCATGATATTCCGCTCTAAAAAAAAAATCGGGGCCGGCCAAGAGACCCCCCGCCGCGCGCCCGGGGAGCGCCTGCTGCTTTCCCTCGCCAGGGCCGGGCGGTGGCGTGTTGCATGGAGGCTGGTCTGTGGCTGGCCCAGCTCCCTTTTCCTGCCGCTCAGCGGCCTCCGCTCGCACCGCCCGGACTCCGCTCAGGTATCCGGCTGGGGCTGTCAGGAGTTGCTACCGCCGGCGCAGCTCCAGTCCCGCGTTGCCTCGGGAAGGGAAAGGCAAAACCAGGAGCCGCTGCTGCCGTTGCAAAGCGCCGCCGCGGCTCTTCCTTTTTGCCTTTTCCTTCCTGAGGCAACGCGGGACTGGAGCCGCACCAGCAACTCCTGACTCGGGGCCTCCGAGGGGAGGGGAAGGAGGAGAAGTTGGGGGGGGAAAGGGGGGGATTCCCCAAAAAATCGGAATTCCGATTTTAATCGGAAGAATATCATGCCTGGTCATAAGGTTGAGGATTGGTTGCAAGCAGAGGTGGTATTCAGCCAGTTCTGACAGGTTCTGGAGAAATTTTGAGTAGTTCAGAGAACCGGCAAATACCACCTTTGGTTGGCCCTGCCCCCATCTATTCTCTGCCTCCCAACTCCAGCTGATTGGCTAGGTCTTCTTTTGCTGCACAGGACAATGGAGCTGGAAAGCAGGCTAGTGGGGTGGGGAGGAAATGGGGATTTTGCAGTATCCTTCCCGTGCCACGCCTACCAAGGCACACCACTCCCACCAAGCCACGCCCACAGAACCAGTAGTAAAAAAATTGGAATGCCACCACTGATTGCAAGTGCATTTTTTCAGTGCTGTTGTAACTCAGTGGTCACTAACGAATGGACACTAACGAAGACTATCTATTGTGAAATACTAAGAATCAGAGCAGGTTATTATACTGTTGAAGATAAACGTCAGTAAGTTTATGATCTTAATGCAGTGGTTATTTTTAAAACAAAAATACATTTTTTTTTTAAATGAGCATTTCACTGTGATAACGCAGTGTTAGAATTTTAAGTAACTTTTGATAAAGTATGGCTAAACAGAATTATGTCCAGAAACAAGCTTGGCAAGAGAATATTTTCTCTAGTTATTCTTAATGAAACTCAACCTCACAAAACCAGTGTTACAAGTAAATACCACTTCCTTTTCTAAGTCTCAGGTGATTTATTTTGTGTTCACTGTTCTACAAGCAGAAAGGTCAGATGCTGTAATTTGTAGTGACACTATTTCCTGATACTTGTCCCAACCCCCAATGTACATAAGATTGGGTCCCACATTTCAGAATGACATTTTGTTGTATTTAATCAACTGTTGCAAATTAACATGAGCTCACAGATAGGGATGGTTTTTTTTTTTTTACTATGAATGTAAAAACCAGGTAATCGCAACCAAGTGAAATAAATGTATCATAAAACTTGTGAAATTACATCTCATCCATGAATTTTGGTTCAAAAAATGTTCCATCAGAAAAATCATTTCGAAAACAAGATCCATTCTCCCCGCTTCACAAAGAATGGATCTGCAATTTGGTTGTCAAAGGGGAAATAATACAGGTAAAATAATAATGGTGTTTCATTTGCAACACAGCTCTTGGTTGAGAGAGGTGTCCTCGTGAGGAACAAGGCTCCTCTCAGGTAGGGAAGCATTAAAATGACAACCTTATGGGGAAAAAAGCAGGAGGACAGACACAAAGTGTTTCCACCACTAAAGATTTTTTTAGGGAAGACTGTGCATGAAGTCTCCCAAAAGTCGGTTTTTCCTTCTCCAGAGTAATAGAATTAAAGCGACCCGAATGGGTATTTGACAAGAGAAACCTGGCTGAGAATAGTAGGTGAAGACTATTTCCTGACAATGCGACTCTTGGCCTCTGGGTTTATTTAAGTTGACTATCAAGTTGAATTCCTTTATAGTTTGGGGTTTTCAGTTAAAAACAGGCCCTGTTGCCCGCTTTATTTATTTATTTATTTATTTGATTTATATTGACGCCTTTTCGCCCATGGCGACTCGAGGTGGCTTACACAATGTAAAATCATATTTAAAACAAAAAATAAAAACAATAAGAACTAACAAAAAGAATCAAATAAATTAGTAAAGTACAATAGAATAAAATTTGGGAAAACAAAAAATAAAACAAAAAAACAAAAACCAACTCCCACCCCCCATCACACGAGCCATTTGATGTGTTCCATCCCTCTCTGGGTTCCCCAGGCCCGCTGGCAAAACCAGGTCTTCAGTGCCTTTTGGAATAGTATTAATGAGGGGGCCATTCTAATCTCTGGGGGAATGATGTTCCAGAGAGATGGAGCCACCACAGAGAAGGCCCTTCTTCTAGGTCCAACCAGGTGTATCTTCCTCAGGGGTGGGGCCTGCAACATTCCCTGTCTTCTCTCTCTAATGGGTTGGGTAGATGTCACTGGCAAGAGATGTTTCCTCAGATAACCCGGACCCAAGCCATGAAGGGCTTTAAAGGTGACAACCAGCACCTTGAATTGTACCCAGAAGCAAATTGGCAACCAACGCAGCTCCTGCAGGAGAGGTGACACATGTGCACACCGGGGTTTGCATAAAACCATGCGGGCAGCTGCATTTTGCACCAATTGGAGCTTCCGGATGCTCTTCAAGGGCAGCCCTATGTAGAGTGCGTTGCAATAATCAAGACGGGAAGTGACCAGGGCATGAGTGACTGTGAGTAGGGACCGCTGATCCAGGAAAGGGCGTAACTGGTGCACAATCCGCAGTTGCGCAAAGGGCCTCCTGGCCACGACCACCACCTGCTCTTCGAACAAGAGTCTGAGTGGAGGAAAACCCTTAGATTTATGTATAGGGTAGTGTCACCCCATCCAAGACTAAAGGTGGTAATTCTCCCTAAACCAACCAACCCCAGACCCAGACCCACTCGGTCTTGCAAGGGTTTAGAAGAAAACGGCTCCAAGAGGAACAATCCTTCTGTAAGGGCCGCTTTTAAGCCTGCAGCCTACTGGATTAAGGAGGCCACGGGCCGGGGCGCAGAAAGGCAGCCGCCTGTCCCCCTCTTAGGCACAGTTGAATCGGTCAGTAACAAAGGCGTGGGGCTATAAGCATTCCCTTGGCGCCCAGTCAATTAGCGTCGTCACCCTTGACTACGCAGCCAAGCCGCCTCTTTCCAGGATGCGGCGCTTTTGGCGCGCAGCAAAAGAAACCTGCGCCGCGGGGAAAGTATCGTCAGAAGTGGAATTCACACCTGTGACGGACCAGCCCCGTCCTCCCCCGTTTCTACACGTCTGACAGGCCGCAGGGCGGTCGCGCCCGGCCGGCCGCTCTCAAAGCAGCTCTCTCCAGCGGGAGGCAGGGCGGGCGCTGGAGCGAAGTTCTTAGAAGAACTTTTCCTGCTCGAGGGGTGGAGCGGAGAAGGGGCGGCCTGGAAGGCAGCCCGCCGCAAAAGCACGGATTCGGGAGCGGAGAGTCGGGTCTGGGCGTCTTTCCTTCCCGGATCGGGATTCCCCGCCGCTTGGAGCCGTTGAGGCGTCTCCGCGAGCCCGTTGCCCTCCCTCGCCGTGTGATGGGCTCCTCCGCGGGGGAGCAGGCGGACTTGAACGAAGGTGCTCGGCTCCGCTCGCTCTTTCTGGCCTGCGATGTAAACGGTTCCGGCCGGATCGAACGCGATGACTTTGGCTCGCTCTGCGCCGAGCTGAAGGTCCGGCCGGCGGAGGCCGAAGCTATTTTCCAACGCCTGGACACCGACCGAGACGGCGCCATCACCTTCCACGAGTTCGTTCGGGGGTTTCGCGGTGTCGCTCAACCGCGGAACAACTGCTGGGAGCTCTCCGGGGAAGAGAGCCACGCTTTCGGTGCTTTCGCCGGGATGGCGGCGGCGGGTCCCAGCCAGGCCTGGCAGGAATTTGAGCTTCGGCTCGGGGAGGAGGCGGGCTTCATTCCCAGGTAAGCCACTGTTGCTCCTCTGAGGGGAAAGGCGCGCCATAACTAGCCCCAGAAGTTTTAGCCCTTCCTTTTTCAGTCACCCTTGAAAGGTAAAGATGTTAAATGTCTTTCTGAGTAGTAGTTCCGCCTTCCTTTTATTTTCCGAAAGATACAAGCCTGTTAACAAATTGCTTTAGCAAACTTCAAGCAGTGTTTTCGGAATGGATAAAAGCTGCACCTGTTGAACTTCTACCGGGCAAGTATTACTTCAGGGATACATGGCGGGCAGCTTTGACCATGTGATTATTTTTTTTATTTCAGGCTTTCCATGGATAGTAGTTGAGGATCATGTATTTTATTATTTTCACTCTTTATAGTATGGTAATCACTAGCCACTTTTTCTATAAGGAACTGGGAGTCAGTGTTTACCCTCTTTATCAGCGCAAAGGCAGTGAGGTAGGAGGTAGGAGAGGCAGTGTGTGTTTATTTGTGGCTTTGCTGGCATTCAAACTTTTAAAATTTTAGGTAGTTGCCAATGAGTAAGCCTACTGGCTTTCCTATGAAGCAGATAAAGTCCGAGATTATAGTTTCTAAGCAACAGCTGTTTTCATTCTAACTGGAAATAATCTATTACAGTTTTATCTCAGGCCTGTCTACCTTAGCATAGTTTTTATTAAAAAAAAAGTATAAACTTTTTAAATAAAAAGAATGCCTGCCCCTCATCTTTCTCCAGCATGTTTGGTATTTGCTGTTCCCATTTAAAATAGTCCCTGTTAAAAGAAGTGGCATATGGTAGCATCTCTAAAGGGCAGAGGGTTAGAGGGCAGCAGGAAAATGACAGGGGAATTTTTGTTTTTGTTTTAATGATGCAATACATACCTTTGAAAACTCTCATCCAGCAAGCCTGCAAGGTGCCACGTTGCTCCTAGTCTTTTCTTGTTACTGGAAGTAAAGAGAGGTGCTCTGCTCAGATTTCAAGTCTTTTCTTATGACTCTAAAAGAATCTCATTCTATTTTCTCTTGGTGCTGCCTACCTCAGCTGATCATTTTGCAGTCTTCAGGTTTTGTGGGAGTCCGTCAAGCACATTTCCAAGCTAGTATACTTTCTTACACCTGTCCTGATTCTTCAAATGTTGTTCCTGTGCAGTAAAAAGCATACAAACAAATGAAAAAAAAATCAGTCAAATGGACTTAACCAAGTGATAGTCCTGCTTGATGTCAGATTTTTGATGTATTCAAAATTCTTTTTATGTTAAAATGTGAAAGTTTGTTGTCTGACTGTTTGAAGACATCAGTTTAAACCTATATGGTTTTAGAATTGTAAAAATAAGTCTCTGGTTGGGTTTTGTTTTGTGTCTCCCTGAGCTGTATCCTGAATGTCCAAATAGCAAGTTTTCTTCTCTGGAGCATTAATAATACAGTGTCTTTTTTAAAAAATGCTATTTCCCAGGATATTAGCACCATATTAGGAATTTTGCCAACAAAAACAACAAAGATTTCCCAAACAACTCTATGGTTCTTTTGGAGAGCAGATTTTGAAAGGATATTAAACAGAGATTCTCAGTCATCCAGGTCCTGGTTGTCCCAAAAGTATTTTTTAAAGAGGCAACTGGACTTTCTGCGAAACATCTTCAAAGAAAAACCAGACAGTTGCCTCTTGAAAAAGTACTTTTGGGACATCAAAGTATATTGTATCATTAGGAACTTTCAGAACAAGAGTCAAAACATCCTTCAGGCTGTTACTCTATCTTCATTCCTATTTAGCAAAGTACATTAAATTTCACTTAATTTGAACTGATTTCATGACAATCTCAAGGTGCTCAATAATGGGGGGAAGGGTGCACAAATGGCCAGCAGACTACAGTGTGACCATTCATGAAGTAGATAAATCAGTGATTTATTGTGTTTTGTCTGTCTGTTTTGTCTGTCTGTTTTGTCGGTCTGACTAACTAACTACTGACTAAAATGGATGAATTACTGCATTTTGCAAGCACAGTCATAGAGAGTTTACTTTTTGAGCAATATTAAAAGTGTGTGCAATAGATCTTACTTTTAAACTTTTGCTTGAATTTAATGTTTGCCAATTAGGGCAGGGATTAAGAAATTACTAGACCTCTCAGCAGCCGCCAATATAATGATTAGGGATGCTGTAAATTATAGATCAGTATAGAAGCATACATTCCTTTAAGTTATACTTTATAGAACTTACTGCAAAAGTCTAGCTAAATAGTTGTACATGTAGGTCCAGTATCCTGTTTTAGAAGAGCTATGGTGGAATGAGGTTTGTGCAGGAAGAGTTTGTGTAAGCATCTGCCTTTCTTATCTTAGTACCATGGAGACAATGTTTGCTCTACTTGTCCAGCTACTTTGGTTTAATAAGACAGGAGAACGAATTGCAATTCCTTTGTTTGACATAAGTGTACAGACGTAATGCATTTGAATTCTGAAAGCCAGTCCTCATGTATTGTTTCAAGCAGAATGATACTCAGAATGAAATGGATATGATCCCCAAAGAAGTAGGGCTACTTATTGAAAAACCAAATTTTGTTAATGAAGTTTTAGATGCTGCTCTAATTTACAGTTTTTTTTAAAAAAAAATATAGAATTAAAAAAATATTTTTTCCTTGCTGATATTTCTTTTAATGAGTTGATGCTAGGCGGTAGACTCAAGATGTGCATTGGTATTATCTATGTAGGAATTACAATATGCATCTTGCCTTTCATCCAGGATCTCAAGGCTGTATAAATAGCAATAACAATAGCACTTAGACTTATATACCATTCCGTAGTGCTTTACAGTACTCTCTGAACACTTTACAAATATCAGCATATTGTCCCCGACAATCTGGATCCTCATTTTACCAATCTCAGAAGAATGGAAGGCTGAGTCAATCTTGAGCCAGTCAGGATTGAATTGCTGGTTGTGGGCAAAGTTTGCTTGCAATACTGCATTTTAACCACTGTGTCACCATGACTCCTTATACAGTATTCCTGCCTCCTCCTTTTTTTTTACAGTAACAACTCAGGTTGGGCTGAGAATATTGGTCACCCAAGGAGTTTTTCAGGTGAGGATGATTTAGAAGTTGAATGTCCTCATTCGTAGTTCAACACTGCATTGGCTTTTACTGGAAGGGGTGATAGCCTTGTGCTCTTAATGTTCATCAAACATTATGAACAATATGTTGAAGGCATTTTGAATAGATTAATTTTTCAAAACCAAAGCCATAGTGAAAGAAAGGTATATACACTGCTCAAAAAAATAAAGGGACCACAAAAATAAGACATCCTAGATCTGAATGAATGAAATATTCTTATTAAATACTTTGTTCATTACATAGTTGAATGTGCTGACAACAAAATCATAGAAAAATTATCAATGGAAATCAAATTTAGCAACCCATGGAGGTCTGGATTTGGAGTTACAGTCAAAATTAAAGTGGAAAAAAACACTACAGGCTGATCCAACTTTGATGTAATGTCCTTAAAACAAGTCAAAATGAGGCTCAGTAGTGTGTGTGGCCTCCACGTGCCTGTATGACCTCCCTACAACGCCTGGGCATGCTCCTGATGAGTGGCAGATGGTCTCTTGAGGGATCTCCTCCCACACCTGGACTAAAGCATCCCCCAACTCCTGGACAGTCTGTGGTGCAACGTGGCATTAGTGGATGAAGCGAGACATGATGTCCCAGATGTGCTCAATTGGATTCAGGTCTGGGGAACGGGCGGGCCAGTCCATAGCATCAATGCCTTCGTCTTGTAGGAACTGCTGACACACTCCAGCCACATGAGGTCTAGCATTGTCTTGCATTAGGAGGAACCCAGGGCCAACCGCACCAGCATATGGTCTCACAAGGGGTCTGAGGATCTCATCTCGGTACCTAATGGCAGTCAGGCTACCTCTGGTGAGCACATGGAGGGCTGTGCGGCCCCCTAAAGAAATGCCACCCCACACCATTACCGACCCACTGCCAAAGCGGTCATGCTGGAGGATGTTGCAGGCAGCAGAACGTTCTCCAGGGCGTCTCCAGACCCTGTCACGTCTGTCACATGTGCTCAGTGTGAACCTGCTTTCATCTGTGAAGAGCACAGGGTGCCAGTGGTGAATTTGCCAATCTTGGTGTTCTCTGGCAAATGCCAAACGTCCTGCACGGTGTTGGGCTGTAAGCACTACCCCCACCTGTGGACGTCGGGCCCTCATACCACCCTCATGGAGTCTGTTTCTGACTGTTTGAGCAGCCACATGCACATTTGTGGCCCACTGGAGGTCATTTTGCAGGGCTCTGGCAGTGCTCCTGTCCCTCCTTGCACACAGGTGGAGGTAGTGGTCCTGATGCTGGGTTGTTGCCCTCCTATGGACTCCTCCATGTCTCCTGATGTACTGGTCTGTCTCCTGGTAGCGTCTCCTGCTCTGGATACTACGCTGACAGACACAGCAAACCTTCTTGCCACAGCCCGCATTGATGTGCCATCCTGGATGAGCTGCACTACCTGAGCCACTTGTGTGGGTTGTAGACTCCGTCTCATGCTACCACTAGAGTGAAAGCACCGCCAGCATTCAAAAGTGACCAAACCATCAGCCAGAAAGCATAGGAACTGAGAAGAGGTCTGTGGTCACCACCTGCAGAACCACTCCTTTATTGGGGATGTCTTGCTAACTGCCTCTGCTTTCCACCTGTTGTCTATTCCATTTGCACAACAGTATGTGAAATTGATTGTCAATCAGTGTTGCTACCTAAGTGGACAGTTTGATTTCACAGAAGTGTGATTGACTTGGAGTTACGTTGTGTTGTTTAAGTGTTCCCTTTGTTTTTTTTGAGCAGTGTATAAGGAATGGGAAACTCAGCACTCTCCAGGTGGTTTGAAGCAACAGTACCAGAATATATGACAATTGTCTGTCTTGAAAAAAGCTTATTGGAAATATAGTTAGAAGTATCGGGATTGCATCAGATAGCAACTTCTGTATAAATATTGAACCTGAGGCTTGATATCGCTACTATATTTGGACATAAAAACACCTACAAATAGTCCTAAAGTTATATTGGAATTGGGATCGGAAGGTCTGTTGCTAAACAATGTGAGCATAAAGTATGAAATCACGTGACTGCAACATTTAGTGATGGCAATCCCAGCAATCCCTACTGTTGTCATTAACCAAATCCCACTGGTTGTTTGATGGGAACCCACCCAATCCCAGCCATTCCCATCTGGGTCCCTTCTAGCCCTGAGCCTCAGTAACGGAAGAAACTATTTCCTCTGCCTCCTCTTCAACTCTCTGCACCTCCTATGTCACCTCCCACCTACCCCCACCTCCTTACACTGTCTCTTTGGACCCTGGCAAAGCTGCATTTCTCTGTAATGGCTGTACTGAGGCTAAAGTAGGGATGGTAGCGAGACTGCTGAAGGCACCAGTCCTCTGAGGAATTCCCCTGTGAAGGATGGCCCAAAGAGCAGAGATGGGGGGAAAGTCGATGGTGGGAAGTTGAAGCACCCAGATTTTGATCAAGTTACTATGACGGTGCTACAGCATCCATAACTTGAGGGAACAAGCGTTAAGTATCATTCTTTCAGCACTTCCATAACTTTAAATGGTTGCTGAATGGATGGTTGTTAAACAAGAACTGCCTACACTCTGATTAGATTACCATATTGTACTAAAAAGTGATTTTGTTTTGATACATGAATCCAGTCAGTTGTGATTTGTTGAAACTAGGACTAACTATGCTTAATGCGAACCCAGCTATAGAAAGAAGAAAAACGTAACCTTCCTACCTTAGGCCATATAATCTGGTTATGTCTTCCTCAGTCGTGAGAGATATGCAGATAGATACTAATCAGTTTATGAGTTTGGTCATTGAGTATGTATTTCAACTATTGTTGTACCAAACACAAACTGAATATTAATGTTAGCAGTGATTTCTGCCCTTTCAAACAGTAACAACTCCAAACTGAATTGGAAACTTCATACTTCCAGAAACTTTTTATAGATAGAGAATGGAAAAATATGCAGATTTTCAGAGAATAATTAAATATTGAAAAGTCTGAATCAAATTATTTTGTGAAATATTGGTATGTAATTATTGGTTACCATTTTTTATAATTAGGATTTATAATAACCATATAATTATCTCAAATTCTTTCTCTTCTATTCTGTTATTTTTTTCTATCTTATGTGAAATTGAAGTATAACAAACATGTATATTATTATTGGGTTTTTTTTGTGTGCTTGATTATGTGTCATCAAGTCTGTGTCAACTGACTACATAAATTGATAGCCTCTTAGAAGATCTGTTCTCACCATGGCCTTTAAGTTATATATTAAATTATATCTTTTCTTACACTCAGGGTAGAATCTAGTTCCAATACGTAATATATATATAATGGTTAAACCAGTTTGAAGATGGTTTCTGCCTGCCTTTTCAAATCACTGTCTTGCAGATATGTTTGACTAGATACTAGAACTGCTGCCATTCTTATCTGAATTCTGAGAATATACTCCAACACATTTACAGAATATTAGACTAGGAACCCCAAATGTTTACCTTGTAGAAGTTGGTTGCAGCAGAAACCAAGACAAAGTTATTTGGAAATATGCTTAATTAAAAAGAAAAACAACAACAGCTGTTTGAATTGTGATAATCAAAATGTTCACAGGTCATAAAATTTAACATCAGGATTAAAGAGATAACTTGCAAGCACTACCTCCAGACACTGTACATGGGATGCTATTTTCATAACAGGGTAATAGTGAAAAGAAATTACTAATAGGATGACAGGTCATTTTCAGAGGAACTTTGAAAAACTGAACTCAGCATTCTTCCTAGAACTGATGCTATAAGATATGTTGGATTGCAGTTCACTTCCAGCCAGCATGATGGTAAGAATTATCAACCAACTGACATGCACAGATATCCAAGTTGCCAAAGCTGGAATGGAAGACTTATTCTACCTGTCCCCGTTCATGATTTATTAAATGTGCTCCATAGAGCACAATGCGTCTGTGGCAGAGGGTCAATTATAATAATGGTCAATAATGATGATAATAACTGCAGGAAGATTGCAGAGACTGACTATAAACAATGGCATGGTAAAGTAACAACAATAGTGCATTGGAATTTCTTCAAGAAATATCACTTGCCTGCAAACAAGAACAGATGGGACTACAAAATAGATGAATTAATAGAAAATGGAAAAGGCAAAGTGCTCTGGGACCTTTAGAATTCAAACAGGCAATCATCTGCTGGACAATACCTCAGGCTTAACAATTGATGATAAAAAACATAAAAAAGACTGGGTAGTAGACATTGCATACCTGGAGCCAACAAAATAGAAGAGATAATAGTAAAGTATACTGTAAAGATCTGCAAATAAAATAGAACAAATGTGGTAAAAGAAAGCGAAAGATAGCGAAACCAGTAAAAGAAAGCGAAGAGATAGCGAAACCAGTAGGAATAGGCTCCTTGCATGCAATCCCAAAACATCTGAAATACTATTTGAATACCATTGGCATTGACAAAATCACCCTCAGTTAATTGCAAAAGGCAGCTTTAGTTGGAACAGCTTATATCCTGCACAATACCTTTAGTATTATTATTAAACAACATCTACTTATCCAGGTCTTTGGAAAGAAATTGATAGGTGGATAAAACTGCCAAATACAATTTAAATATCCGGCTGACATCATAATATTGATTTGGAGCCTTTGGAGAAATAAATATCCTTGATATCTGGAAATATTGAATTTATCAAACTTGAGCACCCTCGTTTAAAAAACAACACCTTGCTTGGAACTGCCTGGATTCCTAGATACTACCTTAGTAATGTTTAGCTCCTTAGTTAGGACTCAAATGATTAAGTTTCCACCAATCTGAGACTGGGAATCCAACCGTACATTACTCACATATCATTCTGTACATTTCAACTCAAGTAAAATTATTCAGTCTGCTGGATGCCAACCAGTTCCATTGGCAGTCAGTTATTTTAATTGGAGAATATTATACATGCTTCAGTTTGTTCAAAATCAATCAGGATGTTGGCTTTTTTTTTTTAATGGCTATGGGGGCATGGGTGATGTAATGATTTGCCGGTATTGTTGCATACTTGATATATCGGTATTTAGGTCAGCAGTCTTGTGATTATCCTTCATTAAAAAAAAGTCTTCCCTATCCTTAGAGCTCTTTAGGTTTTTCTAGGGAATTGTTTTTTTCTGTTTGCCCTGAATTTGATTTCTCATTCTTGCACCTGACTGTTTTGTGTAAATGTACGCCACCAAAAGCTCCTGAATGGAGCTGTTAATTGGGTCAATGAGAAACAACAAAACCATATTAAGATTCTGTGATCAAATAACCGGAGCAAACTTTGCAGTCGCCATTGTACTGAATGTTCACGACAGCAGCTTTTCCAAGCGGAGCTTAGCAGGCCTACATGAAGGAGCTCATAAAAAACATTGCATTTTTTATTTTTTTTTGGCTTTCTGGCAACTGAGGATAACATTTTATGCATTGAATGAATTGATCCTTATCCATGTAAAGTTTTATGCAGTAACTATTTTACCAGATTTAGAAACAGGTATGATAAATACAGGTAGTCCTTGCCTTACAACAGTTTGTTTAGTGATTGTTCAAATTTATAACGGCACGGAAAAAGTGACTTATGACTGTTTTTTCACATTTATGAGCATTGCAGTATCCCCATGGTCACATGATCAAAATTCAGGTGCTTGGCAGCTGATTCGTATTTATGACGGTTGCAGTATCCTGAAGTCATGTCATCACCTTTTGTGACTTTCTGACAAGCAAAGTGTCAACTCATAAAATATTTCTATGGTTGTTTTAGAGTTGCCAACAGAAAGGAAGGGGGGAAAGGGTTTGAAAGAGCAGCGCGGCAGCTTGGAAATCAAAAGTGCATTCCATACATAGTTTTTCAGAGATAGTAACTAGGTGACTGACATTTCTGCCGGGTAAAAATCTAACTGGAGAACATGATTGATGACTCTTGGCTATGGATGTGTCTCATTGGAGAATATGAATTATGATGTACACCCAGGGAGTGGGGGAAAACCAGGGTCAAGGGTGACAATGAATTATGTGTCTCAGAGTCAGCTATACCCAGGCAGTACCAGACATATTAACTCCCAATAAATCCTTTGAAGTTTTGGAAGACTCATGATTTAATTGGCATAACTGCCGGAATCCTGACACAAAGTCAATGAGGAAGCCAGATTCACTTAACAATCTTATTACTATCTTTAACAATTGCAGTAATTCGCTTAACAATTGTGGCAGGAACAGTTGTAAAATGGGGCAAAACTCCCTTAACAAATATCTTGCTTAACAACAGAAATTTTGGGCTCAATTGTGGTCGTAAGTCGAGGACTATAATATGCTAGTTCCAGGCTGCATATGATTCTGACAAACTTTGATTTTAAGATCTTTCAAAATTCTTTCCAACCTCGAACAGCCCAAAACCAGTGATTTATTCGCTCCCATTTTAAGGCGGGGATTAGCCCTGAAGTGGATGTAATGCCATTTAAAAAACATCAAATCCACAGAAAATACTGCATCCATTCACATTTGTGATGTGTTTCTTCTTCATAAGAACTCTACTGCCCATTTCAGCCCTTGACTTCCTCTTGCCATATTCATTAGCAAAAGAAGGTAGAGAAGGGAATGGCAGAACCCGGGGGCCAAGGAAAAAGAGGGATCAGTCTAGAATCCCTATTTAGCCATAAGAATATTAAGTCTTGCTCCCTCTAACCGTGGTGTTGACCCTTGACCCTTATCTAATTCTAACCAGGCATTTGACCTTTATTTAAGATTTCTGTGAGTAGGCTTTTAGTAATAAATCAGCTTAATTGAACCTTCATGTATGGACCTGGTTTTTCGTTCCTAACAGAGAAAGATCTAAATTGAGCAATATCAGAAAGATGAGTTTTATCCAGATCACTTATCTGATGAACTTGGTGGATTTTTGTCTGGGTGGGACAGTGATCTGATCCTATACTAGAAGCATTTCCTATATGAAGGGCAAACTTGATTCCTTCCTGTTAGCATTTTTATTTATAAAAGTTTCTCCAGTATTACATATGCGTATGTGTTTAATCCATGCGGTGGATTTAAATTTTTATAACCTCAGTGCTTGTGTAAAGAGATTTTGAATTTAAATCTCTGGAGGTGTTTTGATTCCAGGATAGATTAAGATCACAGTGCTTACACCAAAATAAAGTAAGTCATATTAACAAGTAATATATCTGTTTTTGTAATCTGTAATTTGCTCTTACTTATGAACTTATTGACCTATTTTATAAAACCTTATTTGTAAAATCTTAATAAAAAGTCTGTTCCATCTACCCATTTTCCTTGACATCTCCATGTAATTTCTTATTTTTGAATACATCTGCAAAACATTTAATACTTGATTTCTCCCTCATTTCTAGGCAAGAACAGGTCAGCATTCTGTATCAGAACATCAATATAGTAGAGCCACGATTAATTCAACCATATGAAAATGTTATTAAGAACTTTATTAGAGAGATCAAGCTGCAGAGTACAGAAATGGAGACCTTGGCCATCGCTGTAAAAAGGTAGAGTTAACTGGGTTTGTATTTTGTGATGAAACTATATTAGACTATATTATTATAATCTGAAGTGGGAAGTATCCTTTAGAACTGTGGACATATCGACATCTGCATCAAGTAAATAAAGATTGCCCAGACCATATCCAGAGCAATATTGGATTCAAATACTTCCATCAGTCCCAGACAACAGAGCTGATGGGAAGGGATGGAGGAATTGCAGTATTGAATTTTAATTTGTTTATTCATGCTTTAAATATCCAATAAATTATGTGGGTGAAGAACAAATGAATTACAAAGGTCATGCTATCATGATCCTTGCAAATGATTAAATATACTTGAAGCTTTTGTTTGTTTTATAAGTTTGTGAACATCCATTACATGTTTTCTAAAATAGCATTTTCAGAACAGGTATCTCTAACTTAACTTTGAGATTTCTGATCACAAAGAATTTGAGGCTGAAAGGAAGAGAAGGAAGAATTAAGTGAAAAATGTATTGCTACATAGAAATTAGGAATTTGGTTTATTAATGGTTAAAACACTAATTTTCTCACATTATCTCAACAAGGCACAAACTAGGCTGTAGCTTCCCAAATACTTGGACGCCATAAGTATTTTAATTTTAGAATGGCAGCCATATAAGTTGAGTTTGAGTTGGTAGAAGAGATGGCACAGCGCTGATAATACCTAATCTTATTTCAAATCCTATGCAGTCATTTTGCGCTTCTATACTTATGCAAATAAGTCTTTGTCTTCTCTTGCCCCTAAATCTTCTCCACTGAAGACAGTTGCATGTGTACATTCCCTGCATTCTTTCTGAGACAATTTCTTCTCCAGGATGAGATTCTGATGCCACTAATAGAGCTATTTCTCGATATACTTAGTGGATAAGATGTGAATGCTGCTATTATATGCATTTGTTCAGTTTTTTTCCTGCTCCCAACATTCAACATTCTGAGACTATCCGGACTATGCTTCTTTTCTATATTTTGGCTTATTGGTATTTTCCAGTGAATTATGCTATAGGTGGAAATAAGGTAGACTATATAGTCTGTAATTATACACACACACACGAACACACACACACACATGTATATAAATTTGTAGTTATGGTATCAATGTGATAATTCATTTACATCCTCATCAGTTTCACCCAGAGAGATTTAGTGCCTAGTTTTGCAAGGTCAGACCCTTCCGCATATACTGTAATTTGCTTATTGCTGTGAGGAATAGAAAAACTTCTGTTCAGAGTTGTATAGAGACAATCAATCCCTATAGTTCAATGTTTATGATCTTTGATAAATAGGATAATTGGGTATGAAAAGCAATTTATATGTCTTTTTAGCTACATTTTTAGCTACTATATCAGGGGTGGGCAAACTTTTTGGCTCGGGGGCCTCATTGACTTTTAAAATTTGACAGACGGGCCACCACCTGGTGTCGAAATGCCTGTCATTACAAGTCAAAATCAAATGAATGCAATCATTCAATCATTCACATCAAACCTTAATTCTGTACCAATCTTCGGCGGGCCGGATTAAAAAGACCAACGGGCCGGATGTGGCCCGCGGGCCGTAGTTTGCCCACCCCTGTACTATATATATACTGTATATAATGTCACATTAGCCAGAAGGAGAATTTGCCAGTTATTTAAATATAGTCTGTTGTCCTTTGTTCTGATTCTTGATTTGAAACATATTGCCCCAATTATTTTTAAGATTGTTTTATATGAATATTCACTTTTATAGAGCACAAGATAAAGCAGCAATGCAGCTTGGTGAACTAGACGAGGAGATGGAGCAGCGCATACAGGCTACAGAATGTAAAGTCAAGAAGGAGGTGACTAATCAATGCTTACAATGCTAATAACTTAGAAAGGGTTGCTTCCCTTAACAAAATAAATAAAATAATTCCATTTTTTTTTGCTTCAGATTTGATGTATGGATCATTGCTTTGCATTATTTTCCTCTTTAGTTTTGCCTCTAATGCAAAACAGTACAAAGCCAGTACTTTCTCTAACAATTGGTTCCATCATAACAATTGCTTCCATCCTAGTTCTTATAGATCATGTGCAAATAGAAATACTTGGAATTGGGTTAATGTGGACAGCTTTGTTTCTCTTCCTACTTTCCATTCAACAATATTCTTAATTTCCATTTATTTACGGGTCTCTGGTTTCCTTGATATAACTTTTGGTAATTAAATCTGGGGAATAATTAAAAGGAAGAAAACTGTATTCTATTATTATAGAACTGAAGTTACAAATAGTTCTAACTAGAAATTTTGATCTCTTATCTTAGAATATGGTAAAATAATTACATACATTGACTACAGAAAATGCCTGTAGTTTTAGTGGTATCACTAAAGTGGTATCCTAGGACATCTCTGTATCCTTGGAAGATTTCTTTCACATAATCTCTGGTTGTCAAATCAGATTACTACTTCATTTTTATAGCTTTACTAGTGTGGTTGAATCCTTCCTATAATAACTAAAAATAACTACTTAGTATACTTAGTATAGAGTCATAAATAGTGGGCTTTTAGGTCTTGTGGATAAGAAATCTGATCATGACCTGTTGTTAAAACTGCTTTTCTCCCATGAGCTGTTCAGAGCATCCAGAAGTGGGAGTTGCTTCAGTCTCTTCTGGAAAGGCTGGGCTTAAAACTGCGGGACGCTCCTCCTCCTCCACGGGACACCTCCTCAGCGTCCCCCAGTTTTAGCTAGCCTTCGTGGTAAGAGGTTGTGTATTCCCTGACTGGAACGGTTTCTGATTCAGGTTTGCTCTTGGGTTATTTTAGCTTTTAAAAATCTTCCCCATTTAATTTGGCTTTTTCAGGCTGGTCCCTCTATTAGGCTACCTCGATTAGTTCAAAAAACAAACAGTTTCTTTGTAAATAGTGGAGCCTGCCACTCCGCAGGCAGCTTGAGGCTACCGCCTCAGGCAATTACCTTATCTAACTTTCCGATCATCTTCTCTGTGATCGTAGCGGAGCGCTCGCAGCCGCGGCTCACTTCACCTTGCCGTTTCGTCTGACAGGAGCATTTAACTCGCAAGTTAGAGCCTCAGCAGCAGCGGCTCATTAGACGGCTCAGACATTAGCAACGGAGATTCTGCTTCCCGCCCTTTTCAACAGCTGGCCCAAGTTCGTGCCTAATTATCACAGGTGCCATTCCCCGCTGATTTCCCTTTTTGGGGACCGGGGCAGTACCTTCCCACTTTGTTCTCCCTGGGTTTAGCTCTCCCTTGTCTGGCTGACGTTGGATAAGCAGGCTAGTCATTAAACAGGCATTTCTTTGCAATTGCCTTCAGATCATTTCTTCGGAGTGAAACTGCAAGTGCCATTTAAATTGCGGGACGTTTGGTTTTGACAGGAATGGATTACCTCAGATCCTGTATAGCTGGTTTCCCTTGTTGGGGACCAGGGATCCAGAAAGTTCTTGCTTGGAGCGCTTGGGGGTTTCCCTTGTTGGGGACCCTTAGATACTGTTTACCATATGCACAGTTTTACATATAGATATAGGCACTTGTATATGTATACGGGCGTGTATATATAGATATAGATATAGATATATATATAGACTTACTCTCCTGGAGGAGCGTTCTACTTTCAACCACAGGGGAAGGCATCACCCCAAACTACAAATACTAATACTAATAATAATACTAATAAAAAATAATTAAAAATTAAAGTCAGAGGCAAGAGAATCGGTCATCCACAATGGAAGGTGACAACGCCTTAAAAAACAAAACAAAAAAACCCCGCTCCAAGACAAATAAATCCCGAGATAAGCCAGTGGGCCCCAAAAAGACCTCTAAGGCGGAGGATAAGAATGCCCATAGACGGCACCTAGCTTTGGAAAGGCAATTGCAGAAATGAGCCAGGGAGGCAAACAAGATGGCTATGACACAACAATCTGATCAGGACCCAAGTCCATTGTTGGGGCCCTAGGACTTATCCACCCAGCCCAGGCAGGCTGTTTCTGGACAACTTCCCATAGGCACATCTCCTCCAATGAGCACTGCCCGGCATATCCCAGAGGCAACCTTCACCCCCACGGTCGCCGGCCTAAGACAGGAGGAGGGATTACCTGATACTATCCCCATCGAAATAAGGCAATTGATGGAGATGGCGATTCAAAGGGGCATGGCGGCTGGAGTTCAGCAATCCATCAAGACCAGACACTTCTCGGCCGCTTTGGATGCGGGATCCCTGTCCGCTCGATCCTTTGCACATATGGGACAACATCAAACTCAGGTATTCCCCAATATTCCTAACATACCAGCCCAGGGCCTTCAGGAGGAGGTAGAATTTGAGGATCAGGATGTTCCCATGGAGGTGGGGTCGATCCATCAGATGGACTTGGTGTTGTCAGAGGCTGACCCACTAGAACGGGGAATGTCGGACGACGAAGGCCTCATTCCGGACCAACCTACTTTTTCTGGTTTTTTTGTCCGCTCCTCTTTAAATCCTTACTGTTCAAGGCAAAGAACACCGCTAAACTAGGCACATCAAACCCTCATCCATTGTCAACAGGGTCTCAGGACGAATCCGAGGATCTAATATTCTCACAACCGGCTAATGAGGCGGAAAATATTCCTGTCCCTCGTATGTTTGCTGAATTAGTACAAAATCAATGGGCATCAGCAGCATCATACCCAGCCCCAACAGGGTACGATAAACGATATTATAATTTTGCAGCAGAGTTTTCAAATTTTTTCAAAATTTGAATGGATGAGCCCATTGTGGCACTGGCCTCTTCTTCAACCTTTCCCAACGAGGCCGAGGAAGCCCTGAGACAGGAAGAAAAGAGAGCAGAGTTAGCACTCTGTAGGGCGCACGTTTCTGACGCCTGGGCCATTAGGGCAGCTACAGCGCCGTCCTTTTTTTACACGGTCCTCCCTCCGATGGCTCTTCCACTTGAGGGATATATTGCCAGCGTCAAATGTCAGAGCCCACCAGGACATAGCTAAAATTATTGCAGCAGCAGAATTCTCCGCCGACGCCACATTTAATGCAGTCAAATTCTCGTCTAGGGCCATAGCATCTCACATATCAGCACAGAGACTGCTATGACTCAGACATTGGCAGGCGGATACCAAGCATAAATGCAAGTTGGCATCAGCCCCAATATCAGGGGATAAATTATTTGGCAGTGTCTTGGAGCCCCTGCTTATTGAGAATAGAAACAAGAAAAAAGTGCTTCCCCCTCTCTTTCGGAGGTCTGAAAACAGAACGCCCCAGTCGTTTCGAAGGGGTTCCTTTCGGCCCTACTATCAAGGCCCATTCGTTCCCAGATCTCGGAGAACATCAGGCTACAGATCCAGTTTTAGACAGGATAGGTCTGAATCTTCCTATAGAGGTCAGTGGGGAGGTCAAAACAAGAAACCGCAGAGGCACCGGAGGCCGATGTTTTCGTCGCCCCAAGTGAGTCCTTGACAGCAGTTCCCATTGGAGGGCGGGTAAAATTGTTTGCTGATCAATGGGACAGCTCCACCTCTGGTGCGTGGGTCAAGGACACTATTAGGTTTGGTTTGGCGCTAGAGTTTCAATCCTCCCCCCCGAACTTTTTCATTAGGAGCCCTAGGTCCACGGACCCCATTAAGAGGGCGTTGATGCAAGAGGCTATCAATCATCTTCTACATATTCGGGCCATTAGAGAGGTCCCATCTTAACAGCGGGGTCACGGCTGTTACTCTCTATTGTTTGTGGTCCCAAAGAGTTCGGGGGGCTGGAGGGCAATTCTAGACCTCGAATGTCTGAACAGATCATTGGTTTATCGAAAATTCAACATGACTACTCTCCAGTCCATTCTGCTCAGCATTAGAGAGAACGATGTCCTGACCTCCATAGATCTCACAGAGGCTTATCTACATATACCAATTAGACCTGCTCACTACAGATATTTTAGAATCTGCTATTGTGATCGGCACTACGAATATATCACCATACCATTCGGTCTGGCTTCGGCCCCTAGGACTTTTACCAAGGTCCTTGCGGCCTTGGCTGCCTCACTCAGGATCAAATCTATTCACTTACAATGTTATCTGGTGATATTTTAATTTTGTCATCTTCCAGACATCAAGCAAAATTGGATACCAAGATTACTCTGGAGACCCTTCAGGGTCATGGCTTTTCCATAAATTGGGATACAAGCCATTTGATTTCCTCAACTAGGTTAGTTCATTTAGGGGCAGTGATAGATACCGTGGAGAGCAAGGTCTTTCTCTCTCAGGACAGGTTGAATAGTATCTAGTCTTTGGCCAGAGAGATCAGAGCCTTAAAGAGGGTTTCCATGGCAGTTCTGTCTCAACTGTTAGGGAAACTGATTTCTTGTATTTCCATTGTGCCTTGGCTCGATTCCATTCTAGAGAGCTGCAGTGGTTTCTGCTACCTTTCCAGCGATCCGGAAGAGCCACTTCCAACATCCGGATAAAGGTACCGCACAATGTTCTCTGATCGCTCTGCTAGTGGTCGGAAAACACGATAAACAAGGGGTGTCTTTTCAAGGAACCTTACAGGGCAACGATCATAACCGATGCCAGCCCGGTAGGATGGGGAGCTCACTTCCAATCCCACACTGCGCAGGGAATTTGGACTATTTCCGAACAATCACAAAGCATCAACCTGTTGGAGCTGCAAGCAGTTCACCTTACGCAGTTTTCTACCCCTTTTCCAATCTCTCAAAATAAGCACGAGACTCTAGGATTCACAAGCTACCCTAAGTTATATTACGATTTTAAATTAGGTTCTGAAATAAAGTTTGCAAAATATGGTTTATAGCTCAGTATATTGTATGAACCAAGCTAATTACCAGTAAATAAATTCTAGTTAAACCAATTTATGTGGATCTCGACAGCTAATAGCAATGGTATACAATAATTATAATCTTGGTTCTGATTATAAATTGCTTTTGCAGTATCTCTAAGTTTCAAAAAATATTGTTTTTCTCCTGTGGAGTAAGGAAAACTTTCTTTTAGAGAAGGAAAAACAAACTTGCAAGTAATGTGTGAACAATGGACATTTATGACTTCTAAGGAATGGGTTTGTATTTGATAAAACAATAACAAAGTGTAAATGGGTATTTTCTGCATATTAATTGCGATCTAAATATTAAGAGCAGCCTATAATTAGTTTGCTTATCATTCTTGAAATTCTGATCATCTTACTCTGTTCTTCACAAATATACTGTTAAAAAGAAAGACTCCTCAAATGTAAATGCAAGATTGCTGTGATATTTACTTTGTGGGATAGTTCTGAATTATCAGTTTTACTAGTACATAGTTTTTATTGAAGCAAGGATGACTTGTGACACAGTCAAATAGTACTTTGTGTGCTAATAATTATTGTAGAGTATGTGCTTTGCATTTATTTCCAGGTGGCAGAGAAATGAAACATGTACTATAGCAAATCTTTGGGCATATCTAGTCATATATGAATGCTTTAAGATTGGCCAAATATTTTTGACTGTATAATTAGAACAGATACTTGTTCTGCTGAATTAGAGCTGCTTAACTCTGCCATTTGTAATTTAACAAATGTGTAAAATGTTTCAGGAGAAGCGTAAAGCAGAAGAAGCTTTGAATGATCTCAAGCGTCAATATGAAACTGAAGTGGGAGATCTCCAAGTGACAATAAAAAAACTAAAAATGGTATGTACACGGGTGGGTTTCTACCAGTTCTGTGCACCTCTGTAGAACCGGTAGCTCTGAAGAGCAGCAGACATAGAACCGGTTCTATGTCTGCTGATGTTTTTGCCCACCCGCCCACCCGGGCTCTTACCTGATCTTTATTTCCTGATTTTTCAACTTCAGCTGCCGAACGAAGCACAGCTAGTAGTTAACCCTGTCGTATCCCACCCCTGTATGTACACACTTAATACATGGGGAAGAGTGCATGGTTAAATAGACCCAGGCCTGATTCTCTGTAAATGTTCTGCTATCTTTCAAGCAAATAAGCAGACAAGAAGACTTGACTTCAGTTTTATTGAAATATGAAGTTCACATATTTTAATCCCTGAGATAACAGAACAAAGTGATACTTCCTTAAAAAGGAAAGGAACTGTGTTCTATGGTGTGGTTATTAATTAGAACTAAATAGCCTTAATTGTGCCCTTCACCCTTTTTACAAGGCAATTAGTCTTTAGTTATTTCAAAAAGTGGGAGGTTAGCTCTATTGTATTTGGGAGTAAATCTGCTCATTGAAGTCTTGGGTTTCTGTCTGCAATTCCTACTCTGAATAACCACAAATAAGAATCTTTTGACCTTAGTGAGCCTTTCTCCAGTCACATGCCTTTTGGTTACTCATTTCCCTAATAATAACAGTTTTTGACAATTACGTTTTTGAATTATCAAAGCATCTGTTAAATCTAAATAGACTTTGATCAGCTTGAAAGTAAGGATTTAGCTTCTAGCCTAAAATGAGCAGCAATTCCTTTTGTTGACAGAATGGGAAGCCTTTCTGTGAATTGAAGATTAGTTAATTCTTACTTTCCAGTAATTATTTTAATTTTTCAGTTATCATTATGCAATAGTTCTTTGTTCTTCAGTTATTCATTGCTACATACCTTAAATTATTTGTATCAATAATGACTCATGAAATTAATGACTAGTTTAATATGTAGTACTGTTTCAAGTTAGTTTTTAAATTAATAAAAGTAGTTTATTAGTTTTAAAAGCTGCCCTCAAATAACCTATACAGAAAGCAGTTGAGTTCTTGAGTATTTTTGTGAAAGGTTTGATTCCCTTTGCATTGTGAGGTAATCAGATAAATTTTCTTATAGCGTTTACATTTTCTTTATTGTTTACAGCTTGAGGAACAATCTAAACACATTAATCACAAAGAAGATTTGGCAGTATTAAAAAGAAGGATACATGATCTGACCTTGGTATGAGTTTCTTAAAATTTTCTCATTTCAACATAACTAGTATTTTTGTTGCCTCTTCTGGCTTGGTGAAATTTGACATTTTCTTGAACTGTCAGGGAGTTCAAATGAATGAATAGAATTTTAGGGAGAAAAAAACCATTTTCCCGGATATATGGTGTGTTTAGCTCCATATACAGTATTAACAACTAGTTAGTGGGTAAATGGTGTGTGTAACAATAAAATACAGACTGGGCCTTAGATGGAGACATGTTTTTCTACTGGTGGACAGTGAGATGGAATTTTTATGATTCTGTGGCCTTGTGTCATGAATATCTATTCTAGGGAGTTTTGAAAAGCCACAAACAGATTTTGTGGTAAAAGAGGTTGGGCACAAATGGGAAACCAGTGCAGAAATAATTAATCCCTTTATTTTAAACTGGTGACTGTTCAAGTAGTTCACAGGTTGGTGAAATAATTTATCAAAGTAGCCATTCAAATAATCATAAAATTTGTTTAATTTCATGAATCATCATTGCATGAATTACTGTTTTTGAATGTTTTGTTTTTAAAATTTCTGTTTTTAGGAAAACCAGAAACTTAAAAAAGATCTTATGGAAGCACAGACAAATATAGCTTTCCTTCAGAGTGAATTAGATACTTTAAAAAGTGATATTGCAGATCAAAGTTTGAATTCAGAAAGGTAAGGAAATATCTCTAGAGATACATAGTAAGTTGTTGTTGGTAAAAAACCAAACTAATTCCCCCTAAACTATTCTTTTTGCAGAGATCTAGACATGATCAGAGAGTACACTGAAGACAGAGATAGCTTGGAGAGGCAGATAGCAGTATTACAGTAAGCTGCTAAATAATTCTGTTTTTAAAATGTTTTCATTTATAAATTTTGATATTCAGAAGTTAGGATCTCCAATGGGGAAAAGAAACAGCGCTTTCTTTATCTGTGAAAGAGGAGCTCTTTTTTGCAAAAGGTGTCTCCAGTTCCCTGATCTATATTTTAATCAGCCTGTCTGTAGATAAAACTTAGTCAAAGTATTAAGCTGCATGTGACATTATAGGAAACTGGTAAGATCTTTGGAAGCATTCCTTTTTTCAGAAATAAAATTTAATCATTTTTATATATTAATTTTTATATCTCTCTCGACTAAAGTCTATAATCTTACAGGTTTTTAGGTCACTGAATTCTAAACAAGCATTGTTCACTGCATTTTGTTTATTTATTTGTATGTTCCTTTCCAAAAGGACATATTTATTTAAAACATTTATTTAGCTGCCCATCTTCTAACCAATGTTAGGCAGGTTTCAATCAAAATTTAAAACAACATAAAGAACCATATTAAAACTATAAGACTAAACAATTAAAACAGTGGTTATTACATTACATGTAACATCTTAATATTACATTAAGACATTGGTCCAAAGTACCTGAAAATACAGTATAACGACCATAGTATCTCATGCTTATTTAGTTACTAATACCTGGTTGAATGTTCATGGCGGGGTAAAATGAACTGGAGGAATTGAACCAATCTGCAGTAAAATAGATAAATTCAAATTGAATAATTCTGTCTGAGAACTAAGATGGAGGCTTTGCTCCAAGAACACATGACTACTGAGGTGGCTACCTAGAATCAGTCTTCTCCAAATAAGCTTTTAAATAACCCCTCTGGAATAATCTACTTCGACCTTATTCTATGATCTTTGTGGTGACATATAAGCACTGGGTGTTATTGCATCTCTGTATTTTTTTAAAGAGATTATTTGCATTGTGAAACAGTCTGTTTATGACTCATTAAAGCACCTACATTATTTTCTTACTGCATAGAGACTGTGGAAAGGCTTCTTCTGCAACTGTGGAGTCTTGAACAAAGCTGTTTTAGTGAGGCAGGTGCGTTAGGTCCCCACATATTCCAAAACACATTCATATTCAAAATGTGAATCTTGAGCATTGCAGAGGCCTAATACTGTGTTTCTCCAACAATACGACCCCCCCAGCATGTTTTCTAGGCATAAAATTAAATTAAGCCCCTCCCCCCAAATTTAGGCCTATTTTAAAACATGCGAAATGGGGGGGAGGGCGGAGGGGAATTTGCCGTTAGGAGCGCCCCGCGGGCAGCCACACCTTGCCACCAGCCGCTCCTAACGGCTGATCATGGCGGAGCGCAGAGGGCTCCCTAGCCTGCCAAGCGCTTTTGCTGCAGACCAGGGTATGGTGTTGGTTGCAGGCCAGGTCAGCGGGCGGGTGGTGGTGGTGTGGATGTCAGCCTCGGCAGGGTACTTTAAATCGCGAGAACTTTGGCGCCCGCCGCTGCTGCTTCCTCCACTGCTGTTGCTTTCCCTTCGCATTCCTCCACCGGCAGCGTTTCAGCCACTTCTCGGACGGGGGAGCCGCCTCTGTAGCTTTCATGGTTCCCTGGCCCCTCTCTCGCCAGCGCCGTCTCCACCAACAGCGGCAGCGCCGGCGGGAATCGTGGAAGCTACAGAGGCGGCTCCCCCGCCCGAGAAGCGGCTGAAACACTTCCACGGTTCCCGCTGGTGCTGCTACTGTTCTCTCACCAGTGCCGGTGGGAACTGTGGAAGCTACAGAGGCGGCTCCCCCGCCCGAGAAACGGCTGAAACGCTGCTGGTGGAGGAAAGCGAAGGGAAAGCAACAGCAGTGGAGGAAGCAGCTGCAGTGGGCATCGAAGTTCTTGCGGTTTAAAGTGCCCTGCCAAGGCCGACACTGCCGCCGCCCACCTGCTGACCCGGCCTGCAACCAACACCATACCCAGGTCTGCAGGAAAGGCGCTTGGCGGGGGTAGGGAGCCCTCCACGCTTTGCCATGATCAGCCGTTAGGAGCGACTGGTGACGAGGCATGGCTGCCTGCAGGGTGCTCTAGGCGAGGGTGTGTGTGTGTGTGGGGAGAAATTAATTCACCCCCGAAAAGACGGCCTAGCTGTTTTTTCGGGGCTCAAAAAAAAAAAAAAGAGACCCAGCCTTATTACATGAGAAACACGATGTTTATTTTAGAAATAAATGCCATTTTTGTTTCTTCCTGTATACTGGATTTCATGGAAGCATTCTGAGGGGTTTTTGCTCTTTTAAAAGTTTTATCTTGATCACTTTGCTGTGATAACTTTTGGATTTCAAAGTATTACGTTTTAAACATGGGAGAACATTAAAAAGTGGGCTCCCCACCTTTATTGGTTGTGTAAAATAATACAATCAGTTCTGCTGCTTCAAAGTGCTTTAACTTTGTACAGGTTGAGGCTTACATACAGACAAAAAGCAAAACTTAGTTGCAGCAGACTGCTCAGAGCTTCACTAAATTATTTTACGACCTTATGCATTTTTAATAATTCGATAACTATGCCATTCTTTCCTAACCTGATGCCTTCTAGATCTGAATTTCAACTCCCATCACATATCAAACTCTCTGAGAATGATGAAAGGTTGTAACCTAAGATACATGGAGGATTTCAGAATCAGTGAGGGTGATGCAAAGGGGCTTTATGGCGTTTAAAATGAAAATTCTCATCTCTTCTGTAGTGCCTTATCATGTATGCACAGTACTTTGATTTGTCTTCCTGTTCATTTGGATTGGGGGGCCTCGTTTTTCGGATTTGCAAATAGGCAGTTTAAATAGGGAATGAAAAATCAGCAGTTACCTTGGCCCTTCTCAAATGAGCAAACATGGAGCAATTATAGGAGCAATTATTTCTTTTTCCTGTTTTGGGTTAGTGGTACCCATATATATGATAACCATTATAGGATTATAATAAGGCTGTACTAACACTGAAAGAGAGCCATTTTTGGTGTAGTGGTTAATGCATCAACTAGAAAGTAGCCCTGCGTTAGGTGAAAAGCCAGCTGGGTGTTCTTGGGCCACTCTCTCTGTCAGCCATAAGAAGCATGCAATGGCAAACTGCTTTCAAAATTTTGCCAAGAAAACTATAGGGGACTTGTCCAGGCTGTTGCCAGGAGTCAAAAACTGACTCAAAGATATACACATAGGAGATATACACATAAAAGATATACACATAAAACTGACTCAAAGATACAAACATAGACAGAGACACATTTATCAAACCATTTATTGAACCATTCTGCCATTTTCCTAACCTTGATCAAAGGCACATGAAACCTCTTTCATTCTCTTATTTTTGTTGAATTTCTTAACACCAACTTAAACTGCAATTGCTAGGGTTGACTTCTTGTAAGGCAATTTTTCCTCTCTGTCTTGATTTTAGGTCAGCTAACAGGAAACTACATGACAGTAATGATGGCTTAAGAAGTGCATTAGAGAATAGTTGGAGTATGTATAACAGATCACTGGTAGGTTTGAACATTGCATATTCAACATGTAATTAATTATATGTTAATTAGTATCTTTTTTTTTCTTTTAGACATCTCAGTGAAACACCTAAATTGGAGTCAGTGAAATATAATAAATATTCTGGATTTCTGTCAAAACTCTCCTATGCTTTTTAACCTGGAAATAAGCCATGCGTATTTAATGAGGCATAAATATACATATTTTCATAGGATAACTCCTTGTCTATTTAGAACCTCTCCCCTGAATTATTTAGAATTTTATCTTGAGAAAAAGTTTTGGTTATTGAATCTAATGTTATTCATTTTATAATTTTATATTTTTTATTATTAAAGTAGGTAGCATGCACATATAGAATTATTATTTTATTTCATAAAACAAATTATTTTGGGGAAAACATTATACCAAAGGGATGCTTCATTTATATCTCTACCCTTGCCCCCAATTAAGCACATAACAATTGAATATGTTTTTGTTTTGAATTTTCCAAAATTGAAATAGCTGTGATGAAGAAAAAAATGTTTTGGTAGATAAAGATGATCTTAAAACAACTTTTTCCAGGTTATCTGAAAACTTTCTAATTCATGTGTGTATTTTTCAGCGTCTAACAAATATTTCCCCTGGAAACACAATCTCCAGAAGCAGTCCCAAATGTGGTCGTGGCCATTTCCCCCAAAATCCACAATATGACAGGTAGAATTGATTATATCTTTAAAATTATGCAGTTTGAAAAACTGGATATATATGTGTTAAATACGGTAATATCCTAGTCAAGCAGTTTTCTTCCTTTCAAATTCATTTCTTTTTCTAGAGCTTCATGATAAGGTTGGTCTTATTCTTAGGTTCAATCTCTGACAATCCAAGATATGGTCGAAAATAATGAACATAGAATAATAGGGTTGGAAAGGACCTTGGAGGTTTTCTAGTTCAATCACCTGCCCATGGCAGGAGATCCTATATTATTTAGAACAAAATGGCTGTCCAGTCTCTTCTTGAAAACCTCCAGTGGTGGAGGCAAGCCGTTCCACTGATTAATTATTCTCACTTAATAAAAGCTATTTCATTGTTGCTGTGCATAATTAAACAATGAGGTGCCTGAGCAAATTCTGAGTCTACAGTTCTTATTTTCAATACCTGGAATGATCTGAGTTCATGACATTTCCACCTCTGATGTTCCTTTCTTTATTTCAAAAACCTCATTTAGGTCTGGAAATCTATTTTGGATTAGCCAGCAATCTTTCATAAAACGATTACAGTTACTAAAAGTTGAAGGACAGGGTGATGTTAGTCTGAGGTATCCAAAAATCCAAAAGGAATCTGGTAGCACCTTTTTATAGCAACAGGCAGTGCAGTAGAATGACTAGATTGATGTAGATTTAAATTAGGGTGACATCAACTGGAGAGAAAAAGAGAATATTTGAGTGGTAACAACCAATGGTTGTCTGTCTTTTAGTAGATTCTTCTGAGAATCAATCTTGATCTCTAGATTTGTCTGTTGATCTTGCTGAGTGGGTAATTTAATCTTTGGAGTGCATAGTTTAATTCCATCAGTGGAGCGTCTCTGTCAAGAACAAATGTGGTGTAAAACCTAGCTTTGTGGTGTGCTCAAAATGGAAAATAGAAGCAAGTAAGATACTCATGGCAGTCTGTAGTTTCCTATAGTTTAGAGGTGGCAACCTTAAGACTTGAGGGCTTCAACTCCCAGAATTCCCCAGCCAGCATGTCCGCAAGTCTTAAAGTTGCCAAGGCTGGACACCCCTGCTATATGTATAACATAATATTTATGGTAACTAATATACAACATTGGTTGCCTACCCTATGCTGCTCTCTAGTGGAATCGAATGAGCATCTAACAAGGGACATGATTGTTTGGAACAGCTGTATTGGATTTTGTCCCTGAAAAATCCAATACAGTCCCTTTTGTCCCTGGATTTTCCCGAATTAAAGATAATACTTCTCATTCATTAATAATTTTGAATGGGAGCCTAGAATTTTTACTCTCTGGAATAATTTTGTAAATGTAAGACTTGGTATTATGTATATCACCTAAGTTAAGAAGAAGGCTTCAAGAAACACAAATTTTCTATAAGTTTCCAAAACAGAGTCTCTCTGGCATGCTTTTTGAAAAAAAAAAAGGCTTTAAAGAGATGTGTGTCCTATTCAATGTTAAGGACAAAATTTGAAGGACTTTGAACAATTTTTTCCCTTAAATATGTTTCTTAAACTTGAATGCTGACAAATTGGGATATAAATACCTTAGTGAAAAAAGCATATAAAAATAAAGTAGGTCTTAACTTCTTTCCTGTTGTATTTTATTTAAATGTTTTAGCATTGTACCTCAAAAGATGTTTAACTACGATTAGACTACTGTAGTGTAATGGAAAAGGATAACCACATTACATTACATACTAATGTTAAAATAGAAGTTGTAAGTAACTTCTAAGTAACCATTGGCATGTAGTTCTGCTCTTCTGATTTAATGTAACAGTATAATTACTCATATCCTTTGTATATTTCCCCATGTGAAATATAATTGGCTAAATGTTTAGACTAGAGGATCCCAGCACACTTCCTCAAATTTGTTCCATAGCAGATGAATCCCTGTGAGGTAGGCTTGGTTCCAAAAGTCATTTCTCCTTATATCCCAATCAGGTTGTCGCATTCATCTTACGTGGATGAAGAGTATGACTCCCTCGCACTTTGTGATCCAATGCAGAGGATAAATTGTGAAGTTGACAGCTTGCCTGAAAGCTGCTTTGATAGCGGCTTGTCTACATTAAGAGATTCCAATGAATATGATTCAGAAGTGGAATCCAAGCATCAAAGAACATCTCAGAGAACACAGGGTCTGCAGGAAAGCTTCCCGGGTGATGCTTCTGACACAGACGTAAGCTATAGAGTGTGTTAACCATACATTTTAAAATGTTCAGATTGGTGTTTAAAAGCAGAATCACCTCCTGCTTTTCAGACAGTGAACTAGAACCTCACATAAGATGGAAATACGTGTGTTTAAATATGTCAAGGAACTGCAGGTTTTAAGTTTAATGTGGTTAATTGAGCACATTATTTCTGTGGTTGTTCCTCACAGAGTTTTGGGGGAAGAGTGCATGCTTACTTATTTATTCATTGCATTCCATCCTGTAGAATGACATAGTAAAAAAAAAATATCCATCTTAACCTACAGGGAAGAGACTGTCTAAAATTTTAATAGATGGAATGGAATAGAGGAAGAATTTACTCCAATTCTCCAAGGGGAATCTGTAAATGCTACTCATACAAATGAAAAAAAAATCTTGTACGGCATGTATCAACCGAGAGTCAAATTGGATTATGTCAGTAGTTCGATCTCTCTCCCTCTCTCTCACTTTCATTAATAATAGTGTTTTCCAAGGCAGGTTAGTTACACGCCTTGTTTTCTGCAGGTCCCAGACATACGAGATGAAGAGATATACAGTCCTGATGACGTAAATACAGTATTGTTTTCGAAGCCCGACCAACCAGTCAGTCGAAGCAATTCTGGAGCTTCAACAAGGAAACACATCCCAGCATTCTCTCCACAGGTATCAACTATAGAGTGCCATATTTACTCTTAAAACCACGATGGCTGAGATTGAAAGGGCACCCTTCAGAACAACCAAAATGTCAGTGTATTCAGTGTATCCTGGAAACTTTTAAGCTCAGATTCTTTTTTGCTTTCCCATGTGTCATTTCATTTTTTCACTTTCTTTTTACTGTCGAAAGATACTTTCCATGTGGCATGAAGGAGCAGCTGATGGAAGTCTGAGGCTTTTTTTTTTTTGCAGTGAAGAACTAATCATGTTATTCTTTTGATGACACATTATCCTAAGGCATATTTTATTGAATAAATAACTATAACTAGGTTCATAGTACAATGCATTGTCAGGATCAAACAAGCTTGGCTTAGCATAAGCATCCGGTACTATGGATGCTTTTTCAGATGCAAGCTTCACTGATTTTATTGGCTGTCAGATTATTATTTACAAAGCTCAGTGAAATCTTCAGAAAGGGTATGCCAACATCTTGTCTTGTTGTTATGTAACTGAGTTTCTGAAATTTTATCTTTGAAAGTCCTTTATAACTTAAACTTTAAAAATTAACCCAAACAAAAAGAAGTCCTGCAGTTAAGGCATGTTATCTAATATAAAAATGTACTTTATGACATTTTTATAATCCATTGTAAGACATGAAACACCTTTAAACATAATTTTTATTAAAAGAAAATTTTACAGAGGATTAAAAAATTAGTAATTTAAACAGAAACAATAGAAAAATGAAAAATGACGTAAAATAAAATAAAAAGTGAGGAACTGCAAAAGAGAAAGAAGAAAAGATATCTAAAGAAGTGACTTCTGTTCTTTGCAGCAGTTAAATTCATGTCACCTTCTCCACTTTTATAAATTTCCTATCTCGGTTTCTTTCTTCCTGGAAAAAATCTCATTTTTAATCAGTAAATCCAGAAATCACCAGACATAAAGACACAAACTACTTTAAAATCTGTCGGAGGTCCACTAGACCAATCTTCCCTGCCTGTTCTCCTTTAAAACTGTTGGAGGAATAGGAAATATACCTCTGAGTTCTGACAAACTTGCTCAGACTTCATCCCTGAACTCAACAGTAAATTATAGATCTCCAGACACTTAATCTTTAGTTCAGTTTCTCAGTTTGACTTGGCAGAAAGCTTGCAAACACAGCTTGGCTAGATTAGAGAATTTACTGCAGATGAGAACAAAGCATCCCATGTAACAGCCGATTGCTCATTGCAGTGCAAAGACCTCAGGGAGTTTTATATTTTCTCAAGGCTTTAAATTCAGGCTTCTTGCTCTCACCCTTTTGAATTAAGGGTTATTTTGTATGTTGTTTGGTGACTGAGAGTTTGTGATATGTTTGCATAAGGCTCATCTTCAGTCTGGGAATTCCTAATTCACATTTGCTAACTGCATCCTTTATTTTCTTGGCCAAAACAAATGTAAAGGGAACCATATTGGGAAGGCTTATTTACTCCATTGTTTCATTACTGATAGCTACCCAGATGACCCTCTTCGTTCCAAAGTTTGTATTTATTTATGTATTAATACCATAAGAAATACAGAAATAGAAAAAAAAATAGTAGGAAAGGTAAGGAAAAGGGGAGGGAAAAGTGAGGAAAAAGAAAAAAAAGGCATTTATTTCTGACTTCCGTTGATGCTGTGGAAAATAATAATAACATCAAACCTCAACTTTTTATTTTTACATAATAGTATGAAGTAGCCATTTCTATAACAAAACCCAAAGTCAAAGTTTCATTTTTTCCCACCTTGAGCACAAAGTCCAGAAGCGGCTTCAAGTAGAAACAAAAGTAGTTGTATTTTTGTCTTTAATCAAAGCAGCTGGTTTAGCCATCTCTACTAACTCCATCAACTTCTGCAGCCATCAGATGACCCTTCATATAAGCAAGACATCAGTTCATTGGCCTTCAGGACTACCAACAATAGAAAGTCATTTTTTTTATGAGTCACTCCTTTTAAAGGCAGTTATGGTTTGTGGTAGCAGATTTCATATTATGCAGAGTGGAAATACATATTTTTATGTTGTTAGTAAATCAATGTTATTGGATATGTGGGCACTGTATCCTTTATAAATGATTAGGAAGTATACATTTGAACTTGTACAAGCTCAGCATCTCTTTCAATTTCTCTTTTTTAATGACATCATTGATTAAAGCAGCCATATCTTTAAGTGAGCCTCACTTGCCTGGAAAAATGTGATAGAAGCTTTAATAAGTAGAGCAGTTGCATTAGCATGGGTTTTTTTTTAAAAATCTTTCCTTAAAGAATGTTCAAAATATGTATAGCCCTAGTGAATCTCCTGAAAGAAAAAAAAATTCTAATTGTTCTCACCTTTAATTTCTGTATGAACGGATGTCATGCTACCACTTTTTAAAAGGCTTTGATTGACAAGGAAGTCCCTGCATCCTTCAGTTATTTCTTTGATAACTTTAGTTAAATGGGAAGATGTATAGCTTTCAGTATTCTAAACTGTACTATACTGCAGGATTTATAGAAAGCATTGCAATATTGACACTGCAATATTTGTGTTTTCATTTTCACTCCCATCCCAATGATGTCTGATGAAATATTTTCCTCATGCTAGTCTTCAGTAATGAAGATGATGATCATATCTAGAATTATCACCATAACCAATTAAGTGGTTGGTTAGTATGTACACACACACACATATACACACACATATACACACCCACATGCTATTTGTTGCTCCGGCGTTGGTACTGACAGCCTGACATGTTTTAAAAATAAGATTGCTGAATCAAAGCTAATTATTATTTTAACGTTGTCAATATGGTACATGTTTTGCTATATTAGGTTGATTCTATACACAGCAACTCCAGATATCCAAGCTCAGAGAAGGCCTACAAGATAGTTCTTGCTGGGGATGCAGCTGTTGGAAAATCTAGCTTTCTTATGAGGCTTTGCAAAAATGAATTTCGAGGGAATACCAGTGCAACCCTGGGTATGTTTTTTTTATTTTCCTTTTTCTAGGGCACCCATAACTGCCTGAGCTAATTGATGAGCTTTGAAGCTATTTTCCCCTCAAAATACAAATACCATGTTCTGATTATAATAGTTTGTCTTTCAATCACCTCTACATTTGACTTTTCCCAGGGACCTTAAGACATCATATGTGGCTTTGTCCTGACTTATCTAAAAGCTTCTGTTGAAGTTAAAGGGAAACAGGAGCAGACAGTAAAGTGACAGAGAAATGGAGATATAGTTAGATCCTTTCTCCAATAAGGACAGTAGATAGTAGAAATACCCTCCACCACTTTAATAATATAAATTTAAATGTTGTATCCAAAATGTTGTAAAATAATTGCTGAGCATCCCAAGAGTAAGATTATAAAAAAGAGAAAGAAAAAAACACATTTGACCAAAAGTGTAATATAGCTTTTGACACTATATTGCTTTGATACAAAATGTGAGAATTTCCTGAGAGAACAATTAAATACTGGGACAATCTGCTGGAACAGTGGTGGATTTCAATTTGTTTTGAGTTTTCAATAAATATTCATTTGTTGGGATTGATTTACTGGATTCCTGCACTGAGCAGCAGATTAGACTAGATGCCTTGTAAAATGTAGACCATATTGCAGTTTTTAAGGTGGGCTGTTACAGAGTTATACTGTATTTTTTGGTGTATAAGACACACTTTCCCCCCACCCAAAAGTGGGTGGAAATGTCTGTGCATGTTATACAGTTAATGTTGCCTAAGCAACATGGAATGGGCCGAAAATGGGGCACAGGGAGGATGAAAATGGGGAGCGTGGAGGCTGCAATAGGCGATCGCTGTAGCCTGAAACAGCTGATAGTCAGGAGGTAATCGGTAATCCAACCGGTAATCAGCTGCTTGTGCTAAATCAGGTTCTGCTGAAGCTGATCAGGCTGTTTGCTGCAAGGAGGCAAATTGCTGGGAGGCAGAGGCAGATTTTTTTTTCTTGTTTTCCTCCACAAAAGTTAGGTGCATCTTATACTTCGGAGCGTCTTATAGTCTGAAAAATATGGTAAATCTGAAGATCAGCAGAAAAGAATCCAAAATAAGACTACAAGCAGTTGCCAATGGAAACTCCTTGAATGACAGATCCGCAGCATGTCCTCTCTTCTGGCATAGTTTAATGCTTTTTCCCAGACAATTTCGTTCCTTCTGTTTCTTCTCCCCTGCTAACCTCAAGCTACAATAATTAGCAAGCCAGGTTTAGCCTTCAAAAACCTACATGCACATGACAATGAAATGTTGAGATCTTCAGCTCAAAGATCTCCTAAAAGGAGCTCCCAAAGGGTCATTTCCATTTGCAGTTGTCCTTTTAGTGGCAACGTTATCAGGACAGTAACTTTATTGAGCTCCAGATCTCAGAAGCGTATGGGCAAATGTCATCTGTCGGAAACAGAGTCAAAGACTTAATTCTGTGAGGGGGAAGTTCTTTCTCATATTTGGAAGCAGCCAAATAGCCAGATGGTGCAGCACAGTTTTCTCCTTTATTATATCTTTTTGTCATCCTAGACACTGGGCTTGTCAACTGGAAGGTTGACAGTTCAGGATCCAAGCACTTTGAGCTCCCTTCTTGCCCAAGAATTCTCAGTAATGCTCACTTATTTACCCCAGACTATATTTTTAGGTTTAATCCTATAGATAAATAACAAATTCTTAACCTTCACTGAATTAAAGAATGACAATGCAGTGCATTAAAGAATGTTGTTTATTTTAAGGGGTTGACTTTCAAATGAAAAGACTCATTGTTGATGGAGAACCTACAGTGCTACAGCTTTGGGATACTGCTGGTCAAGAGAGGTTAGTTAAATTTAGCTGATTTTGTTTGAAATAATAAAAGATTTGTATTAAAAATTATGTTTGGGTGCTGTTAATGATATTAGAATCTTCATAAGAATGTCAGGAAACCTAGAATGCCAAGTTAAGGAAAATTGTCTTAGAATGCCATAGAAAATGCCCTAAGATTGAACAAAATGTAGATACTTTGAATTTCATCTTCCACTAACTCCAGACAATGGTAAGGAATTTTACTCTGGAATAATTACAGGACACCTGGTATTTATATCTTGGATAGTAGTGGCCTATTTAGACTCTTAAAGCATTGGTTCTTTAAAGTTCAAAGTATCCTAAATTGCCACTACATTGCCACTGTATATTACTGGAACCAACTTAAAGGGTACATAATGCAGCCTTTACCATCTTAATTTCTTCCCTGCCATCCTTATGGATCAGATGTTTGGTTTTAATCTACTGAACTTAACCTGCTCTACAGATTTAAGGGAAAAAAGCGGGATAGAAGAACTACAGCAAATTTTAACTTTTTTTTAAAAGGTTCCGAAGTATTGCTAAGTCTTACTTCAGAAGAGCAGATGGAGTGCTTCTACTGTATGATGTTACCTGTGAAAAAAGCTTTCTTAATGTACGAGAATGGGTGGATATGATAGCGGTAAGGATGCTTGTATCTTACAAAACTTTTTAAGGAAACCTGTGTTTGAAATGTTATTAATGGTAGAGATGATTCAGATTCAGTGTGTTGCAGTACAAGTAGTCCTTGACTTACAACAGTTCATTTAATGACTGTTCAAAGTTACAACTGCACTGAAAAAAGTGACTTAGGGCTGTTTTTCACAGTTACAACCATTGCAGCATCCCCATGGTCACGTGATCAAAATATGGATTGAACTTGGCAACTGATTCGTATTTATGATGGTTGCAGTGTCCCAAGGTCATATGATCATCTTTTTGTGACCTTCTGACAAGTCAGTGGGGTGTCATTAACTTAATAACTGGAGGGATTCATTTAACAACTCTGGCAAGAAAGGTTGTAAAATGGGGCATAATTCACTTAACAATTGTTTCACTTAGCAACAGAAATTGTGGACTCAGTTGTGGTTGTAAGTCGAGAACTACCTGTACTAAATATGAGGTCATCTCCATCTATATTTCTTTTCTGGAAATCCCTCAAGACCTGGGTTTAGGGACTGGTGAGATCTTGAGCACCCTTGCTGATCTAATTTCTTGTGTGTATTTATGCTTTTAAAAAACCTTTTAATATGATGGTTTTGACATGCTTATTGTTTTATATTTTTCTTGCTGTACGCAGCCCAGAGTCTCCTCTTGTGAGATAGGCGACATATTAAATAAAATAATAAATATACATTAATATATATGATACAGTAATCCAATAGGTCAAGTTAATTGAAAGCAGGGTGAAAATCTAATAATAATAAAAAATGTTTTGATGCATTAGAGCAGGGGTGTCAAACTCACGTCGTCATAGCGGTATCACGTGACATTTCAGGACTTTCCCCCCTTTGCTAAAAGGTGGGGGTGTGGCCAGTGTGTGATGCGTCCGGCCCATGGGCCGGGAGGTGATAGCCCTGCATTAGACTGTTAAAATCTGTATTTTGGATTTAACATCAGAAGCCCCGGCATTAAAGTTCTACTCATTTTAGGATGCCACTCATGAAAATATCCCAATCATGATGGTGGGAAACAAGTCAGATCTTCGTCAGACAGCTTCTGAAGAGGGACTGAAATGCATATCTCTCAACTATGGAGAAAAGTTGGCCATGGTAAGAATGACGGCTCCAATAGCTTGCAAACATAAAAAAGACAATATTGAAAATAGAATCACATATTGAAATGGAAGCTTGAACTATTAGAAGTTGAATCCTTGAGGTTCTTGCAATGTATAAGAATTTGATTTTTAAACATTGCTATTGAGATTGTAGTTTAGTGGGTTTTAGCAAACATTTGAAAAGCAACAGCTATTTAATGCAATATTCCAATCCTTTGACATTTCTAGAAATTTTGAACATCAACTTCAACCATTTTCAGCCTGCATAATAGCTGGAAATGATGAAAGTTGATGTTGAGAACATTTGGAAGGTGTCAGATTGAACCCAGACACAGATTAACAGAGTTGGAAGGAACCCTGTAGGTTATCTAGTCCACCCCCCCGCCCAAGCAGGAGACCCTACACCGTTTCTAACAGATGGCAGACAGTCCAGTCTCTTCCTGAAAGCTTCCAGTGATGAAGCTCCCACAACCCCTGAAGCCAAACTGTTCCATTGGTTGATTGCTCTCACTGTCAGAAAATGTCTCCTTATTTCCAGGTTAAATCTCTCCTTGTTCAGTTTCCATTAATCCTTGTCTAGCCTACAGGTGCTTTAGAAAATAGCTTGACCCCTTCCTCTCTGTAACAGCCCTTCAAATATTGGAACACAGCTATCAAGTCTCACCTGGTCCTTCTCTCCACGAGACTAGCCATGCCTAGTTTCTGTAACCGTTCTTCATATGCCTTAGTCTCCAGTCCCCTAATCATCCTGATTGCTCTTCTCTGCACTTTTTCAACATCTTTTTCATAGTGTGGTGACCAAAACTGGATGCAGTACTCTAGGTGTGGTCTTACTAAGGCTTTATAGAGTGGTATTAGAACCTCACTTGATCTCGACTGTATCCCTCTGTTAATGCAACTTAGGATTGTGTTGGCTTTTTTGGCTGCCACTGCACATTGCTGGCTCATACTGGTATTTAGCTGGTTGTCCACTAAGACTCCAAGATCCCTGTCACAATTACTGATATTAAGCCTGGTTTCACCCAATCTATATATGTACTTTTGGTTTTTCTTGTCTATGTGTAGGACTTTACTTTTCTCTACATTGAATTTCATTTTGTTAGATAGGGCTCAATGTTCAAGTCTGTCAAGATCCATCTGGATCTTGAGCCTATCTTCTAGGGTGTTAGCTATTCCTGCCAGCTTAGTATCATCTGCAAATTTGGTAAGTTCCCTTTCTATTCCCCCATCTAAGTTGTTTATGAAGATATTGAAGAGTACTGGGCCTAAGACGGAACCTTATGGTACCCCACCGCTTACTTCCCTCCATGTAGAAAGTGATCAGTAATTTTGTTTTCAGATTTGTCTTTTAATCATTTTTGAACTGAATTTCCATGAATGTAATTAATGTGCTTTCTGATTTTTTTTAACCTAGGCGTACAGTGCATTATTCTGCGAAACAAGTGCTAAAGATGGCTCTAATATTGTTGAGGCAGTGCTTCATCTTGCCCGGTACGTTCAGAGGCCATATACCCACGCCTTTTAAAAAGTCATGTTCAATGCCACTCCTTTTTTTAAAATGTACATTTAGTGCTCTGTATAAACTAGAATAGGTGGAATGAATAGCTTGGCATTATACAGTTGGGTTTTTCTCCTTAGTTTAAAGACCAATTCCAGCTTTTCAGGGGCCATCAAGGATTGTTCTTGGTGAATTTCACAGCATCTCACTGGTGCTAAGTATCTTGTTCCCTTTCCTCATTTAGGACAAAGGTCTTTGCTCTCTTTCTTCAGTTTTAATTCTGAAGGATCAGGTAAGACTACCAGAAGCCGTTCCTTTGCACAATTAACTTTATGAAGTAAAAGTGGTTTAGTGGATCACTGCTATTAGTGAATCCAATTAGGTATGAGGAAAGCTGCATCTCAAGAACATTACAGTATTTCCTCAGGATAAGTATAAGAATTGTTAGCATTGAGACCAGGCAAGGCATCCACTCCAATGACTACTGGAAAATCTCAATGATTTCAGATTTTGCAGGTTCCATTGAATATTTTAGGCCAGTAAGTATGCATAGTATATGCAACCCCATGTATTGCCACGTTGCACTTCCCCAAAACATATGTGCATTAAATATATTTACTCATTGCAAATGAAGAACATTGTATATATTCCATATAGATTGCATTGTAAAATTGGCTTGTAAGTAGAATCTTCGTAAATTATAAAATATCAACACGCTTAGAGATGGTCAGCAAATATCTGTCTTAAATGGTTTTCCATTTCTAAATATACATGAATTCTTGACTTGTCTGGTATATCTATTATAATGACATCGCACATGAAATGAAAATCATGGAATGTCTGAAATCATGTTTTTGTATTTTTAGCAAGATTAAAGGTAGCATTTGGTTGTAGCTTTGTGTTCAATTATTCTTGCTGATACCATAAAAATACATTGGTTTGTAGAAAGAGATCCTTCTGCTTCTTCATTTGGAATACAAAGAAATCTCTTAGCTGTCATTGGCAACATGTACAGCAGAGGTGTAACCATTTCTTTATCTAAAACTTCAGTTTAAAATTAATTGTTGCTGTGTGATAAGAGTCATTTCCAGGATTCTTCAGGCACTTTATTAAATGGCAGTTGAGTTAGAGATTTCAAGAGAGCAAGTACAACTATAGAATCTCCCAAATAGTACACCAGGGGTCCCCAAACTTGCCAAGTCTTAACTTGTGGACTTCAACTCCTAGAATTCTCCAGCCAGCATATATTCTATACTATTTGGGAGATTCTATAATTGTATTGTATTGTTTGCAGACCTTTGTAGTATATAATAGGCTTTTAAATTTTAATTTTAGGACAAATACATTTATTTCAGATATGAAATACAGATAGTCCTTGAGATACAGTGGTTCATTTAGGTCACATGATCAAATTCAGATGCTTGGCTACTGACTCATATTTATGACAGTTGCAGTGTCCCAGAGTCAAATTGCGACCTTCTGACAAGCAAAATCAATGAGAGTCAGATTCATTTAAAAACCATGTTACTAATTGTAGAGATTCACTTAACTGTGGCAAGAAAGGTCGTAAAATGGGGGCAAAACTGACTTTTAACAACTGTCTCGCTTAGAAACAGAAATTTTGGGCTCAATTGTGATTGTAAATTGGGGACTACCTGTAGTCTCTTTGTGATGTTAAACGTTAAATGAAAAGATGCCTGGGAAACTTGCTTTCTAAAGATGTTTTATAACCTTACCTCAAAGACACATTCCTGGACACCCTTGACAGTTACTGATTCAGTCCATGATCAAGTTATGTGACTCAGGATACTAAACCATTTATAAGGAATAATGGAGGCAACGTTCTGGGCATGTGTCTTTAAAAAAAGAAAACATGCTTGAAGCCTTATACTAATTTATTACTCAAATCACAATCCATAGGCGACTTTCCATCCACAGTTCCCATTTATTTTAAGCGCACTCAGTAGATGATAATTTGGATTTTCTGTGTCGATTGTGTCCAGAGGAGGAAAAATATCCTAAAATGGGATGTGTCATAATGGCCCAAGATAGGAGTTTATTATGTAAACACCTCTTCTTGACAATACGTCTTCTCCTATGTTTGCCATTAAACTAAGCATTGTAAATAGCATTAATTCACATGATATTTATTCATGTTCAGTGTACACAGTGAAAGCAAACTGTATCAATATGCAATATTCATGAACTTTTACTCTTACTCAGCAAATGCTCACAATAAAGCAGGATAATTTCCCTTTGAAAATGCTTTATCTGATCAAACAAACTATTGTTTTTCAGAGAAGTGCGAAAAAGAAGTGATAGCAAAGATGATGATAAAACAGTCACTAAGCTGGCTGGGACAACACTAAAAAAGTCTTCATTCACCAAAAACTGCTGCAGTGTATGAGAAGCAATTCCTTGGCCTCAAAGAAACAGACTTCTGTGGCAATGGAAGAGGAAAAAATTGTTCCAGATGATCAGCAGAAGAAAAGATGGAACTAATTTTTCAGCTATGAGGCCCGTAAGAGTCTTTAAGCAAAATTTAGATATGCTGCTTATTGAATGAACCAAGCCAAAAAGATTAAAATTCTTAGTTCATCAGTGGAATCATTCACTTCTTCATTTAAGCAGTTAAGAAAATTCTGTCTCAAATCAGCTGTGCCTTCATAAGCCAACCTGCTTGGATGAAACTGGATCCCCCCCACAAATCTTAACTGTGTATATAAATAAATACTAGCTTTTTAAAAAAAAAAATGGGATTATTCAGCCCATTCTCTGCCTTGCATCGTGAAGACATTTGTGGTTCTTCATCACTAATCTTAAAATTTGTGCAGTGCTTGTTTTTGAAGGATTTTCTGAAGCAATCAACTTTTCTATACCGTGCAGCTTTCAAGATCCTAGTGATAGCTTGGGAATTGAACCTGAATTGGGGGAAAAATACAACTATCTAAAACTATGTAGAAAAAAATGTACCCTTATGCTGAATTCAGAACGCCGTTGTTGGTATTACAAAGGATCTCTGAGTAGAATATAAAAAACACAGATGGCTTCTTCATCTGTCAAGTGCCCTCCTATAATTTGGGGACTATAACTGGATGCTCTTTTGAAATATAAGAAGTTGAAGTCCCAGCAATTCTGAAGAAGGCTATGTGGAGAATGGCTATTATAAAATTTAGTGGATTTAGTAGATAACCTAAAGAATATTCTAATTTTAAATATTGTTGCAGCGCTATACCATTTCAGACAGCCTAACAAAGCAGAAAGAAAGCTGAGCTACAAAGTTTTGTGCGGATGTTTTAATTTTGTGTAGGCTACACTAAAGATGCCAATAATATTTCTTCATAGATTCTCAGAATTTGGAACTCCAGGATACTTTGCAGCTAAGGGTTCTAACTAAGTGTGCATGCATGTGTAGTGGTGTAATGACCACACTTGTCCATGTGCTGCAATTTAATATTCATTCCTCTTCTTCCCGAATTTAAGAAGGCTGCAAAGGCTACAAGCTGTATTGGGATTGTGCCTTGGTGATAAACAGAAGTGAGACCTGAGATTGTGGTCATTACCTTCCCTTCTCCCCAGAATAGTAAGCTACTCTCTGAAACTGTTTGCTAGTGTTTTTGTACTTTGATGTCAAGAAGAAGGACCAAAATTAGTGAAACTTGATTAAAAGCCTCATTCTTGCTCTGGGTCTGAAATTGAACACAAAAGCAACAAGACCTCACTGAAGAAAATACCAGAAAGCAAGTTCTTTATTTCATACTCAAAACCAGAAAGAATCCCAATCTCCAATCCCAGGAGAGAGATTGGCCTTTGTAAAGTGAGTAGGCATTTTGGCCTTTCCCCCCAAGGCAGATGAGTCCAATCTGGGCAATTTTAAGGCTAGTGGACTTCAACTCCCAGAATTCCCCATCCAGCAGGGTGAATTGGGCCATACTGTAAACTGAAAGTCTTCAGTTCTTAAAATTGCCAAGGTTGGACACCCCTGCCTCAAGGCATTGCTTTGCAACAAGGGAACCAATTGAAAGGCTATCTGAACTTCTTTGCAAGAAGTCTCCTCCATGCTTGGAAACTTAGAAAATATAAGATTAACATCTACATGGATTACATGAAATCCATAACATGCAACATGTGCACTTTAATATGTTATTGTAATGATAAGCCTTGATGCTATACAAAATCCCAACTTTCCTAAGAATCCGATAAAGATCAGGAAATACAAAAGTTGTCATTGTGTTGGCTGGACTAAGAGGCAGTTTTATATGTTTTTAAAGTTTTACTAGATTTATATTTGTCTCCTTGATATATACAACTAATCTGTTTTTCTAAATGCGTAGGTTTTATTTACTTTTACTGTGTTAACTTTCTCATTTTTAAGGACGTTTTCATAGTTAGTTGATCACATTTGTTAGTTTCTGTCCAAATTAGGAAAGGAATTTAAATTCTACAGGTCTTGAAAATTATTAATTTCTCATAAGGCTGTGAAAAGAGAAACCTATTTCTCTCTCCTCTGATTTGGTGTCAGAAATTTTTTTACAGCTGGATTCTCCGTGCATTTTTTACAACTAGGCTGAAAGCTCCAAATTGTCTTACTAACTTCACACCATTTAGATAAATAAATTGAAATAAATAAATAAATAAATAAATAAATAAATTGTTTAATAGTCTGATCCTAACTGAACTGGATTGATTTTAGGTATAATATGTGTTAGCTTTGGGCTCATGTTTACTATCCTTATTCCTAGATGTCTATGATACAGTATTTGATCTTGAAGGACATTCAAGACTAATTATTTTATTGTTAGAATACAAGCCAGGGACACAAGCCACAATTTTGATCCTTGGTTTCCTTAACTAGAGTTCCATTGAGTTTGAACCCAGTGGGTTTGGTTATTTGAAAGCTGAAATACAAGTACTGTAGTTGAGATTGGAGCATTTTTTTTCCAATGCAGATGCGCACCAGACTATCCTATAACTCCTGTTAATCTTACTTAGCTTTACTGTTCTGTAGGAATTGGGGAAGTTTTAGAATGAGGATATCTGGAAGTATCTATGGTCACATATCTTTCGTATAATGTTAAACTGTACATGAAGATTGTGTCTCGGTAAAATGGTTGTTTTGTCATCAGATACAGATCGGGGAAGCATATAACACTACAGTCCTTTTAATAGTGAGAATGTTTTGACGTAACAGTAGAAGAAAACCTATAGAATTAAGAGGAGTTCAAAAATGAAAATTTTTGATACCAAGCCAACTCCAAAGCACAGTTGTGCAAGTGAGTCACAAATGTTTTACAGATTCTTTATTCTTTTATATTTGTAGTTCTCCTATAATGATTGAAGCCTCTTTTATAAGGGCCATTTTTCACACTTCTCTTAATTATTGTGAAATTTTAAAGATTTTTTTTTCAAAGTACCCGTAGTTAAATTAAGAAATCCTTGCTTGGGATGCAAATAAGTCAGCATAAGATTGTTTTTTAAAAGGTTAATTCATATGAATGATAAACCAATTACTGAGTATGTGTTTATTGCCTTGCTGAATGACATGTACGTACAAACTTAGATTTTTTTTAACACAGTAACAAGGCACTTAGCACTTGAAGCAAAAGAAGTAAGTATTGGCTTTATTAGTCCACCAAGATCATATAGTTTAAATGAGCAGAGTTACATTTTCTATAACTTGGATTTCTCTTGAAGGACGAATTCTAAATCAGCAATATTTTGCAGGCATGGAACTCCAATACCAAGAGACATTAGAAACTCTGTCTTTTCAGGGAGAGCTCCATTTATTCTACAGGATCTAACCACAGAGATTTTTTGAAACAGACTAAAATGTAATTAGGCTTCTAGAGTCACAGGAAGCAATACAATTTCTGCATTGAGAAAAATCACAGTATGAAAGTTCTGAATGAGTTGAGTTCAGCCAGCTTCTGAAAAGAATTGTTAAATATTTACCTTAGTACTCTTAACTTCCAAAGTCAATCTTTATATTTATTTAGTTGTTACATTATATACATATATTTATTTATTTTCACAGGCATGTATACTTGTTACTTTGGTAAATTCTGTATATATGATGTATTTTCATGCAATTAGTGATCACAAATTGTTTTATCCGAATTGTTTATAGCATGTGCCATTTTAAAGGTAATATTTGTCTTCTGGAAGATTGAATCTTGTTAAATGCTTTGGTATGTAAAATGGGCTTTAAAAGGCTGTGTGCCCAAAATGTGCTACATCATATTTTCTTAGAAATAAAATTATATAAACCACAGGAAATCCGTGTTTATTGGAAATGTTACTTCAAGCCTTTTTTTTTTAAGGCAGCTTTTAAAAGTGACATTAAGGCAACCATATTATAACTCCTGGAAGATGTACCAGGTACAGGTAAGTTCAAGAACTCAGCCTTAGGTGGGAGAGACTGAAACATGGATTCTGAAAAGACCGACAGACCTTTTCCCCAGGGCTGTTGTAACTGAACCGTCATTAAATGAACTGTTGCAAGTCAAGGACTATCTGTGTTGTGAAATGTGGTTTTTTGGGGGGAGGGAGCGGGTGAAGCAAGGGAAAGGTTTTGAGAAGCTCATCTTGAAGCTAATGCCTTTTCAGGCAGGCAGTTGACTTCCCCAAAGCTGAGCAAGAATTAGTCAGGGAAACCCGTTGGCTAGCTGAGCAAGAACTAGTCAGGAAAACCCGTTGGCTAGCTGATCAAGGCAGAAAAGCTCTGAAAGCAGCCACCATTTACATAAGGAATTGTTGGAGTGCTGAAAATGGCGGCTGCTTCTAGCAGGCCCGAGCATTGTAGGGTCCCACTGGAGAGGGATGTGGGAGGAGGAGAGAGCTGGGGTGCTGCAACATTCCTGTGGTCAGTCAGAAGGGTGAATGAAGGGTATTTCAGCTGTTGTAAATTTGAAACATTCATGTAGCTTTTTTGGGGGGGGGGAGGCGGTATCTGTTGTAACTTTGAACAGCTGTTAAGTGGTAGTACCTGGGGCTGCTATTCTATGTTTGATGCAAGAATGCCTTATTTGTAATGCCAGAACCTGTCTTTGGAGAAAACTAGCTTTAGCAGATGCAAACCCTGGTTCACATGCCCAAGCACTGTTGAAGTCTTTATCTATCTATCTATCTATCTATCTATTTATCTATCTATCTATCTATCTATCTAGTCAAGCGATTATAAGATAACTAATACCTGTTATCTATATGGATACATATAAGAAAACAGAAACAATAGGACAGGGACAGTAGGCACGTTGGTGCGCTTATTCACGGCCCCTACAGACCTCTTAGGAAAGGGGTGAGGTCAATAGTAGACAGTCTAAGGTTAAAGTTTTTGGGGTTGGGAAGAAACCACAGAGTTGGGTAGAGTATTGCAGACATTGACCACTCTGTTGCTGAAGTCGTATTTCCTGCAATCAAGTTTGGTGCGGTTTACCTTGAGTTTGTATCTATTGTGTGCTCTTGTATTGTTATGGTTGAAACTGAAGTATTAATTGACAGGTAGGACATTGCAATATATAATTTTATATACTATACTTAGATCGGACCAAAGGCAGCATAGTTCTAGGTTTTCTAGATCTAGAATTTCAAGTCTGGTGGCATAAGGTATTCTGCAACGAGTAGAGGAGTGGAGAAGTCTTGTGAAATATTTCTGGACTTTCTCAACTGTGTTAATATCAGGTACGTAATGCGGGTTCCAGACTGATGAGCTGTATTCAAGTATTGGTCTAGCAAATGTTTTGTATGCTCTAGTTAGTAGTGTAATATTACCAGAGAAAAAGCTATGCAGGATTAGGTTAACAACTCTTAATGCCTTTTTGGCTATGTAATTGCAGTGGCCTCTAGCACTTAGATCATTAGAGATGAGTACTCCAAGGTCCTTGACAGAGTTTGGATCAGCAACAAGGTCTTGACTATTCAGCTTGTATTTTATTTTCTGATTTTTTTTTTATTTTGGGGGAAGGATAGGCCATATAAACATCTGTTGGGCTGCCATGGAGAGTTGGTGACTTTGCAGGATAAAAATACATAGATGCTTTCAAATTGGATGCCATCTAGTCACCTGAGGTGTGTTAGGACCAGCTTAGTCTATGGTATTTATTTGGAGAGAGTTTGGGTTTGTTGATTCAGAGGATGTGGACAGAAGTCCTTCATGACTGTCCTCTGTCTCTTGGGGGTTAGATTGTTGATCCTCCTAGTTGGGGAAAGCCTCAAGTAATGAGATTGGAGCCTGTATCAGAGCAGTGGTGAATGCATTGTTGATAATGAGGGTAGTACATTCAAGTAGTAGCCAGGAGTCAAGAATGACCATAATCTTAACTCGCCCACCCCCACAACCTGTTTAGTTATGATGATGGAGTGGTTATTGCCGTTGGTTATAGTTGAAGAGGCTCACAAGCCTATATGTAATACAGGCCTAAATCAATTATTCAACTTGACAGATCTGAATCTGGGAAATAATTTTCAAGATCCAGTGAATATTAATTCATCAATATCAGCTTTAATACTGTCTCCTTCCTACATTTTTCATGTTCAGTTCTATCCTATTAACAAATTAACATATATTTCATCTCCACTAAAGCCATAGTCCAGTCTGGCACATTTCTTTCATATAATTGAAAAAGCCACAGGTGAATTAAAACTTGCACATTATGCATTCCTCTTCTGAAAAAAGGCTGGCATTCAAGCAAGAGTGGATAAAAGTGATTTTTGTCCACATGTTACATTGCAAATTGATTATGAAGAGATAACATTTCTTAGAGTTGACCTTAAAATGGGTTCTGATGTGTTTGGCCATATTTATCATGAACTTTCATCCATTTCATAGAATCGTAGCATTGAAAGGCACCTTAGAAATCCATTGGTCTAACTCCAGCTCAGTGTGGGATACACTTTAGCAGGGTTGTCACTCTCACGGTCCATGGGCCAGATGCATCATGTGCTGGCCACACCCATGCCTGGTTTAGCGAAGGGGAAAAAAGTGATATGCCACATGATGCTGTGCCAATGCAAGTTTGAAACCCCTGCCCTACAGAATATAAGTGATCTCTATAAACTCCATGTTCTATTTGAAGATTTCGAGTAAAAGAGACTTCACTATTTCTGTTGTGGTTTGCTGGCAGCCGGTGCAGACGGCAGAGGTATCAGACAGTGAGGACGAAAGGGAACCAGTCAGGGAGTCTGGCGAGGATTTGGACGGGGGTCCTGCATCCAATGCAGGGATGGGGCCAGGACCATTTGAGAGGGGGATGCTGCCTTTGGAGCCTTTGGAGTCTGGCAGCAGCGAAGCAGAGGACCCCGGGGAGCCTATCCCCAGTACGCATATGCACAGAGCTGCTAGAAGGCGAGAGCAGCTGAAGCAGAAGGGGTGACTTGGGAGTAAGGCTGGGAGGTGATTGCCCCTCCCATCAGGGATAAAAGTCAGTCCTCAATGACGAAGAGCCTTGCAGGAAGCAAAGGCTCAGTAATCTCCAAGACCTTCATGAAGCTCTGTATTCTGGTTGTTTTTTTCTGGGTTTTTGGATTGGTTTATGTTTAGCCTTAATTGGATTCTGTTTCTTGGCAGCATTCTGCAGCACCGAAAAGCGTGCTCTTATCTGGAGGAACTGTCTAATTAGTTTTCGCTGGGAACGCAAGTTAATTCCCAGCATCGCATTAAAAAAGGTTTTACTTTTAATTTCAGTTTGTGTTTTATTAAGTTTGATGAAGCTTGGGTTAGAACAATTTCATGGGCCAACTTGTTCTAATGTCTGTTAATCTCAGCTGCATAGAATGCCAATAATTTAACATCAAGGCTGTTTGGGTTGTGGTGATATCTGTCCATTCTAGATGTAAAAAGAATCAACCGAAGCTACAAACATCTTCCACAGGAAACCCAGAAGGTCATCTTTCTGTTTAATAATTAGATTTGGTTTTTCCTTCTGCAGCCTAGCAGCAGAAGGAGAAAATACTTGCAGAAGACGTGGGACATAACACAAATGAAACCTGGTTCTACAATGCTACAAGAAAGGGCTTGCTTGACACACAATCATCTCAAGCTCTTATTTATATGTATGAGGTTTCATAAGCACTTATTTGGAACAACCCCACTGTAAATCAATTCATTAGAAGTTAGATTCCATGGATGCAGACAATTTTTTTCAATCACTATTTAAAGCTGTGTGTCTTATAGGTGCATTAGGAAGTTTTTTTGCCTATTCCTAATTGGAGACACTGTTTTTCAAGTTGTGTTTGCTCAGCTCCTTATAAACAATGTCTACACAGCCAGTTCTGATGGTGGTGTGTTAAATAACTACATTGGCTGTGATCACTCTTGATGGTGACCCTACTTGGATAGCAAGCAACAGTAAGCAAAGAAAGTACAGTCATAGCACTGAATTCATTTATTTTTTAAAGTAACATTTTCATATTTTGCCTCCTTCCCATCAAAAAGCCAGCAGACTTCCTCAAAAAATGAAGAATTTTCAGAACTGCTGTTCTGATGACAACATTTAACTCAGGTCAGGACCTTCTCAATAGACATTATCTGCAAATGGTGAGTGGCTGAAAACTAACACCCAACTTAATATTCAGTGCAAGAAACATTCAAACAAATGCGGCAGAGAAATCCCATGAAACCAATAGTAATGAGAAAATCAGTTTAATAATTTTGATCATTGATGGGACAATAATTTATATGAGCACTTGAAAAGAAACTCCAGCTGTACCTTCTCCATATGTAGAAGTATGTAGTTGTGTGCCATAAACATATGTATGCATACACATTAGAATGTATAATGAAAACAAAACTTACTGGTTTCCTCTTTGCTTCATTTGCATCCGTAATGAATAAAAAGATGCTGCAATTAAATGAATAAAAGGATGCTGCAATTAAACGAATAAAAGGATGCTGCAATTAAGGTGAATGTGAATGTTATTAATATTTCAAAGATGAAATTGGTTGTAGCACAACAGGTAGGTAGTAACACAGTTTTAGCTGAATTGACATAGAAAATGAGGGTATAAAGGCATTAATCAAAGATACTGTCCCCAAATATGTGTTGGAAGAAATATCAATCTGGTTCAGTTCCAAGTGAGGAGAAAGACACTGGAAACATGGAGGCTGATTGGAAAGATGGTTTATTGATAAACAGAAACAGGGTTTGAGGTCCTGGGCAGCTGACCACATGGTAAGTGAGGATTATTTATACCTTCTCTTGGGCCTTGCCCTTGAGCTTCCTGTTTCTGTGCAAGAAATGTATTCTATTGGTTGTCAGACTCCCAGGGGCTATG